TCTAGGTCAATGACACTCGCTTGCAATTCCTGCGATTTGAGCTATTTGTTGTTTTGATATCTGTTTTGATTTGGATTTTACCGATTCCTTTTAGGAGCACTTTGGGATGTAACAAAAGTTGATTGCGAGAACAAAGCACTAATCAAATCAAATCGACAACTTTTGTTAGTGATTTTTAACAATTTGATTTCTTTCGGTTTGACACTAGAGGCAGGGCATGTGCCGATCGTAAAGATAAACGCATATACGCACATACGCATACATATATATATATATGTATGGTTGTTTGTATGTATATATTTTAGTGGAATATACCTATACGGCTGACACACAAAACGGGGACTGAAATTCTGCTTAAGAAATTTCTCCAAATATTTTCACTTTTGCGAGCTGGCGCTGCTGCTGTCGGCGCTGACGTTAAAGCTGACGCTGGGCTGTTGCTGGGAGGCAGAGAGCTGCGTGAGTGAGCTGCTCCTCTCTTGAACGCTGCGCTTGCGCAAAGAAATCGAACGACCGACAGCGACACGACTACACCGACACCGAACCCGACCAAAGGAGGAGACAGAACGATCGAGAGCGCGGGCAACGAACAACGGGCAACGGGCGAGGGGCGAGGGGCGAGGCAGTGAGACTCGTCGAAAAGGTGTTGGGAGAGCGATAGATAGAAAGAAGAGAGAGTTCTATGCTCGCTTCGAGTGGCTTTGTTGTTCTTTGTTGCCTTTTCTCTGCTTTCTTCTGCGGACTGCGGTGGGACGCGTGCGCTACCAACGCCGGCTGAATCTGAACTAAACTTGAACGCCAAAGAAGTGAAAGACTTTATGCAGCAACAGCGACGGCAACAGCGACGCCGACGTGAGCCCCAACGCCAGCGCCGAAGCTGGCTTCGGCTCGGCTAGCGGCGGGCTCGGACTCGGGCTGGGCTGGCGTTTTATGGACGGACAAGAAAAACAGCCAAAAGCGCACAAAAGAAAGCATCGAGGAGAGCGGACACGTAAACGGGATGAGATTGGGATCGGAATGGATGGAGGCAGAACCAAGGGCAGCGACTGAGACTGAGGCAGAGCAGCGACTGCTACAGAGGCAGCGGCTGCGGCAGCGGCAGTGGCAGCGACATGCAACAAGCTTTAATTGAAAAAGCCGCAAAGAACAGTTCGTCTGTGGAAAAACATGTCGGGGAAAAACAACGATGGAAAAGACAGAGAAAGAAATCCAATGGGGCGCAGACGGCGGCCAGTGGGCACTGACATTGACCACTGACCACCTCGCGTTGACGATGACGTTGACGCTGACGCCGGCGCTGGGGAGAGCAGTGGCGGAAGACGCTGACGCAGACGGTGACGGAGACGTTGCCAGCACCGCAAAAGAGGTCAAAGTACACGCATGAGCTTCAACAGTATCAGGTATCGCTGCGGGTGCGGGTTCGTGTGTGTGCGTGTGCATGCATAATCTTACACTTGGCCAACAGCTGGAGAGAGGCATTGCCAGCAACAACAGAATGAACAACGCCAGAAGCAGCAGCTCAGCAGCAATTGAGGGAACAAATTGATGGACTGCCAAAAAAAAAAAAACACTAGAAAGAAATGTTGTGTCTAAAAAAAGTTCCATCACACATGGGAAAGGGGGGGGACCGGAGGTGCAAGAGGAGAGGTCAGGTTGCCACGATAAGCTGCTAATCGATAATGGTAGACGCTGCATTGTTTCGCTTACTGTTCCAGCATGAAGACATTTATATTTACCATAAAACTGCTATAAAAATAAAACTGATCCCGAAATTGAATTGAGATTTATCACACTAAGACAAATTTAATTAAGTAAATGCCTAAGTACAGATATGTATACATAGAAAGGGATCAACCTATTCCAGGGATATGCAGATGTAGCTTGAAATTTTCTATGCATATTTGTGAGTAGTAATTTTCAACTTCCACAATTTATGCATATGTACATATAGTATGTGTGTACATACATACATATATATTTTACTTATAGAAAACTAATCGTTGTAAATAAACCAGCTTATTAATTCTCAACTGAACGTTTAAAAAGAGGCTGTACATATTAAAATTTCCACGTGAGAAACGTGGTTATATATTAATGGGCATATGTGCATATATTAGCATGTGCAATGATTGCTATCGATTATCTTAGATATGTATCATATTAACCAAGTCTAGTGGACAAAGAAAAATGAAGCACGTGTCCAATTGATTGCAGCTTTGGGAAACCCGGTTGCAATTCATTTACATATTTATGTATGTATTGTTGGAAAGCATCAGTCTGTGACACGTGATTGGACTGTGAACGTTTATCGGTACAGTTATCGATCAATCTATCAATCTACATACAATACATATATCAAAACGTACAATGCATGCCCTTTGAAATTCTCCAAAATGGAAGTAGTGGATAGCTGACCCCATCCCGAAAGCAAATAATAATCGACTACTGCACTTTAGAAATTGTCCCACAAGCAGCGACGTGCACAAACATGCACATAAGTGCAACAACAACAACAGCAATACACTTTTGGGATCCAGAGAGCATGAGGCATGAGGCATTAGGAGTGTGCTTGGCATCTGCAAAGCAAACAACCCACAGAAATTACTTAAAAAATAATCAAAAAAATACTCATAGCACCCACACCCACAACAGCCCCCTCAAGGGCACATGACAAAAGCTCCATTTCTTTGGCTGTGGCTCTTTGGTACCCCCTCTGTGAGGGGTGGGGTGTGGCCTGTGGATATTGGCTAATCCCCGAACTATCTGTCTGCCACGTGCCCCAACACGAAACTTGCTAATTGGCGCCGGTCAATATTTGATTTTTTAATTGGTTTTTCATACATCACGTTAGCAGAGCCACTCGCAGAACTGCCTCCTCCCCCGAAAAGCGGAAACTGCCACACGGATCGAAGAGTCGGCCAAGCGTGTCGTTCTTGGCCATGTTTGTCCGGTCCATTGTGGCAGCCTCTTTACGTTTCTCGCAGTGAAAAACAACACACAGCAGGGCCCGAATATAAATGGTTGCTCTAATGTTTCGGGGGAGGGGGAAGTGGGTGGCTGTGCGGTTAGGACAGCCAACCATTTGCCTACTTTCAGGCCGAGCTCATGAATTCCAATACCAACACCGGATGTGGGAAATGGTCAGAGGAGCGGCACTGCTGGGGCACTATCACTCATTCGCTCCCGGGGGGAAAACCGTTCAGCACTTTTATCGGCCGAGGGAACGTTCTGTTTAGTCATATTGTATGTGATAAGGAGGTGGCCTAATGGATACTCTGCTTCCAGGGCCAGCCCTCAAAGTTGTTCATATTTTTTTTAATTACACAAAGTTACGGCATTAGACGGCGTCCTGTTGACAGCAGGCCCTGTCCTCGTCCTCGTGCTCGTCCTCGTCCTCGCCCTCGACTGGTAAATGGCAAACACTCATCCAACATTCACACACATCCCCATCCCCATCCCAATCCACCATCCACCATCCTTAGTTCTCCCAGAGAGCGAGGAGACAACGAAACGAGAAGGAAAATGACATAATGCACTTGAAATGCTATCGCCTCGATGTCGAGTGCAATAATGCCACTACACACACGCTCGCACACGGAGAAATCCTCCGATAAAGTATCTATAGTAGCACAATTAAGTCCCAAGTTTGCCAAAGCTCCATTCATCTTGGGGCACACTTTCAGGCTGCTGCGGCTGACTGTCCCCACCGTTCCACATAGCCGTCCCCTACCACAGGCACACGGCTCCCTGGCCCAAATTTTCCCATTTTCCGGGCGGGCTGCGGCTGTGGCTGTGGCTGAGACTGCGACTGCGGCTCGACCGACCACTACTCACTCATCATTTTTTATGCAATAGACACGAGGCGGAGACCCAAAGCTCACTTCCTTGGGTTGTTCGAGGCCGATATTTTGTATAATTTTTCACGCATTTTGGCAAACATTTTAAATCGGCAAATATGTGATTGTATTTTTAGGAATTTTCGGGAAACTATGGCTGACAGATACTGGAGGAAATATTTTTTGTGACCAACTCGCGTCGACCGCCTTGAAAATCAATTGGAAAATGCCTGATTCAGTTCGCTTTTTTTTTTGCGCTTCTGCTCCCCAAGATTATTCACGCGCCTGCTCTCACCGAGAGAGAGAGAGAGAAAATGAAGGGAGAGAGTGCCAAGAGAGAGCAGAGTGCCATGCTCTTTTGCTACTATTTTCTACTACCGTTTTGTCAGGGATTGGCTTGGGATCTGCCGGCTTTTGGTCGGCCGTGCCGCAAGGGTTGCTGGCTGGCTGCTTATATAATGTGCGTACAGCTGACTCGGCAGATGGAGGAGCAGACGATAAGATAAGTTCTTATCAGCTGGCTTATCAGCCATAAAACTCCCCAATTGGATCACAGAAAATTGATTTACTTCAGGCTTTTTTCCATTCAATGATAATTGGAATTGGAAATATCGTGCAGCATAATTTCAGGCCGTTTTCGCGCAAGCACGACCACACTGAAGAAGCTGCTTTTTCTCTCTTTCTCTCTCCCGTTTGATGTACGGTCTGGTCTGGTCTGGTTGGGTCTGGTCTCTCTGGGTCGCTCTCGCGAAAAGCTTAGCTTCTCTCTAGCGGAAGCGTGAAACGGATATGTCAGATTTTCTGCCAAATTTTTTACAGACGCCGACGTCGCTGTCGCTGCTGTCGCCAGCGTTTCCAATAGCGATATTCTCCGGATGAGATAATAAACCCAGCGACATACATTCTCCACTCGAAAGGGTGGAGGTGGAGCAGAAGGAGAAGGTGTAGGAGGGGGTGTCGGCACGGCACAGGCTGTAGCAGGGGCAGCTGACGACAGGGGCCTATAAATAAATGTTCGCTCAAAATGAACAAAAATAAAACATGCTCAAAACAGGGCAAAAATTATGCTAAAAATATCACCACAAATAATAAAAAAAAAATATCAGCGCACAAAACTTACAACAGGGGGACAGTGCGCCCCCCGAGTCATGGGCGTGTACATACCGGCACAAAATAAATGTGAGGTTGGAAACGATGCTCCTGGATGGATGCTGCTACTCCGGCGACGAGTTGAACTGAAGCTGAGCCGTTCTTTGGTGAGGGTGGGGAGGGGAGATATTGGGGCAGTTGTTGTAATCACAGCACTTTTTCTTCTTCTCTGGTTGTGGCTTGTGGAAAAACACTCGTTTGAGACACTCACAGACACAGCTTGGAGCACTTATTGGAGTCGCGTGGGCGTTCACCCCCTTTCGATTGTTTTTTGGCGTTACTTTTGCGGTTCGTTCTTCGCGCTTTCACGGGCAGAGGGGCGGGGGCAGAGAGGCAGAGAGCAGCACAGCTCGGAAGGCGACTAGCGACTGACGGCTGACGAGGAGCAACACCGGGCCTGGCCGCCTGGCAATTTTCAACATTAATAAAACAGGGCTCTCTCTCTGTCGCCTTTCTCTACTCTCTCGCACTTTCTTTCCCGCTCTGTGTAGTATGTAGTGCCTTTCTCCACCCTGCAAGCACAGCAGCCTGCACTCTCCGGCGCTCTCTCGCTCTCCCTGCTTTGGTGGTGAGCTTTGACACCCCGCCGTTGTACGGGAGCTGCGCTGCTCCCACTGCTATGAATTTTCCACCACCTTTGGCCGTACTGGGCCTGTTCTAGCGTGTTTTTCCTACTGAATGAAATCCGCTTCTGTCTAGTTCTGCTTCTGCTTCCTCATCTTCTAGTCCTCTTCTTCTTATACGCAGAGAGCGGATGCGTTAGTCGTCGCACGAAAAGCACAAGCGGTTCAATTAATAATAAACACACGCCAAAATCGTTTTTCTGCACTTTTTACTGCAAAAATCATCGCATGCTTCGTTTCAAACAGCCGCCCGCGTTGCCACTCTTCATCAGCTGTGGCGTTGCCACCTCACCAGCACTTTTGGGGCCATTCAAATTCAAATTTCAATTCAAATTGAAATCCACTTGAGATTGTAATCTGTCATCAATCTCGATTCGAGGCGGAAAACCCGATCTGGACGATCGTCTGCTGGCAACCTAACCTTCGAGGGCCAAATATTTGGACAATGGCCACAAGGTCGCCCCACGGCTCGACGTCCGATTGCAACGAGACGTAATATGAAAACCAAAACAAAAAGATGAAAACAAAACATAAAATGCATTGTCATTTGGGCCCAAACTTGTTGGTTTGGCGTTCGTGGGGTTCGCTGGGGTGGGAGGAGCAGTGTGGACGTGCTGCTCTCCACTCTGCATAATAATCAATTTTCATGGGGCTGATGTAAATACATTAAGACAAATGAGTCCGGTGTTGAGGAATGATGGATGCTCTTATAATGTTGTAGAAGAGTCCGTTTATCATTAAGTGAATGAAAAAGTGAGTGGAGGAAGCTAGAATACATACATATGTATGTATACGGAACTGCAGGACTCCGAAGACCTCTTAATCAGCTAACCAGCTAATCAAATAAGCCCTATCGTAGACTTTGCAAACCTTTGCTAATAGAACAGTTGCCAGCCTCAAGGAGAGTATTGCATGACACAAGCGAGTTTAAAACGATAACAAATAGGTGAGAGAGACATCGGCAAACACACACAAAAAATCCAAACATACAAAATAATGAAAAACCAGCCTCATTACTCATGCGCACCCAGGTGAGGGGCGGGTGACGTGACGTTGGTCGCCCCAAGGGGCTACGACCAAGCCCATCTGTGGTGCCCCCCTCGGACACTTCACTGCAACTCCCTGCAAGATGACGGAGCACTAAAAAATGTGAGCAAATGTTGAAAAATCCCACCTCATGTCGAGAGCGACGAGCAGCCAAGTGGCGGTGACTAAGTGGAAATTCGATTAACTAACAAGAGTCTTCTTCCGTTGCAGTTTCGGTGTAGGAAAATTGATCTTCGAGCTGGAGTTAATATCGATGTAAATGGCTCTGCTAATGGGGCGGTTTATTTGATTTGGGGCTTTATTTCGGTTACAGATTGGGCATCCATTAAGAGAGTGTGGTGCCGTTATCCCAAACGGATTTTTAATTAATTAAATTGGTCATCTCGAAAAATGCAAATGCATTTTTATCTGGAAAATGCCAGCATGAGACCCTCCACAGATTTACGACCGCAGAGGTTTCCTCCTCTCACGACTTTCCTTTTGCGTGTCACAGAAATTATTGGCAATTTTGGCATTTCCTAATGGTGTAGGGCGGCGGAGAGTACGTGGACCGCTTATTACGGCACAGTTGTGTGGCGGCCTACGGTTTGTGGTTTCTTTCTGTTTGTTTGCTGTCTGTCGCTTCCTCCTGAAGTAGGTCACCTGCAGTTGAAGATGGGCAGAGCTTTCTAAGCTTCCGTCAGGGAGGATGGGATCATTGAAACAGCACTGAACAGACAGTTTCGTAATATTATTTGCTTTGGCATCATCAAGGCGCCCATCAATCAATCAATTAATCAGCAAAACAAAGCATTTTTGCATAATTAGACAATGGAAACGTGATCGGCTCCACCACAGACGACCCCCTTCTCGCATTGACACCGAAATCAAATTATGAACATCAGCAGAATATACCAGATACGAGTATCTGTGTGCATTTGCCAATATTGTTCTTGACCAGAATAAAGTGCTTTGCTCAGCGGTAAGACACAAAGAACAGGAAGCTAGGTGACCTGCTTGAAGACCTCAAATTATGGGGAAATGTGAAATCGTTTCAAGATAATAATGAAAAGCTAAACAAAGCTGCAGTTTGGTGTAAACTTCAAACTTTTTCTGCACGTATGTACATATACATATGTGTGTTTGAGTTTATTTGTCTTCTAAATAGAAGCGCTTAACTCGAGCAGCAGTCGCTGTCTCGCTTTCACCCACTGGATGGATAGTGGGATTGTCGCCAAACGGCAGCCGAAGGCATTGCCAGATCCACTCAAAAGATACCACGCACTCGTAATAGATCCGACCATGAGAGGAGGCACTACGGTGGGTGGGGAGGAGCCATTTGGAGAGTCAGCTTTCTCAGTTACCGAAAACGCCGTTGTTGTTGTTTTGTTGCTTCGTTGGCCACTCAAAAGCGCTGCTCTCTCTCTCTCTCTCTCCGTGCTCCGTTCTCCGCTAGTTTTGTGTGTTCGCTGCTGTCAGCTGAGTGTGCTTATTTCGCTCGCTCTTGCTACCCAGTACTAAGGGTATATTCGATGAGTCTGAACTAATGGTTTATACATATATTCTAGATCAGCTTCGTTCTCCAATCCAATTACTAATAAATTACTAAAATAAAGGCAAGTCCCATTCTTCACTGGGTACTTCACAGTCGGAATGTCTACTGGAACACTCTACTGTTATTTGTTGTTGGTTATTCGGTTTCGTCGCTGGCTTTTGATTGTTTTCTGTTCCGCTTTTCATTACTTAGCTTTGACGGCCTTTGTGAGTTGAGAGCCAGACGCGAGACAAAGTCGGAGCTGGAAAAAGAGAGTCACAAACTGTGAGTGATTCCGATCTTGAGTCCAAGTTTGGGTTTCGGCTTAAGCTCTGATCGCGCCATTTCCTCGGATCAGTCTGCGTTGAACGTGCGTCGGCATTGGCAGCAAAAGAAAAACCTCTAAGCCTCCTCCTCCTCCTCCTGCTGCACCGTGCGTCACAGTGTGCTCGGCCACCCCCTCCCGCTGCAGACTTTGGTCGATACAGTTTTTCGGTTAGTTTACACTTCCACCTAAGAGTTAACACCTAACACTGGCCTGGCCATCACGACATGTGCCTCGTGCGTCAGCAGCTGCGTCTGCTCCCCGCCCCCACCCAAAATCAAATCAAGTGCAAAGTGAAACCTCCCGAACCGAACCAAACCGAACCGACGCGTGGTGCAATCAATAATAAATCATCGAAAATACAACGATTGCAACAAATTTCGATCGAGTCGAGAATAGATTGCCAAACAATTGGAATTCGGTGACCCAGCGGAAGTGATGAAAGATCTTTGTGCTCAGTTTATCGGATATTTGTTTGTTTTCAAGGAAAACCCATTGGAAAAGCTGTTTATTATTTAATTTTCACTCGAATGTTTGTTTTTCTTTCAGCTTTACAAGTTTTTCCTCTCTCTTGCTCTCGCACCACTCGCGCGCTACCGCTCTCTTGGTTTCCGTGTGGTGTGTGTTTCGATTTTCGTTTTTCTCTGTGTTGGTTAAGTTTTTCGCGACTGTTTTCCCATGTTGTTTTCCTGACTTTGCTAGAAGATTCATTGGCAAACAAAAGTAATTGTGTTCCTTAAAAAATAGATGCTTAAAAGAGGTTTTTCCAGGTCTGTTCGCCAAAATGTTGAGTTATTTCTGGAGTTGACAGCGTGGCCAAGTCGAGAAACTCTTCGATCTTTCTTATTTTTTTTTTCTTTTTTTTTGGGTTCTATAATTTATTACAGTTGTTTCGCTGGCTGACATCGTTTCTTACGCCGTCAACCGGTTTGCCAAATGTCCCAAAGAATATAAATAAATAATAATACAGTTTTTTGTGGTAGAATTTCGTTATGGCCAAAAACAACGAACAGGAATGTTCAATTGTCTATTTGTTTATGGTCGAAATCTAAGTGCAAACTGTTGGAGCAAAGAGCGAAACACGAAATAGAGAGGCTCGATACGGGGGTCGAGACTGTTGATACCCTTTCCATGGGATTTTGTGATCAGTTTTTGGATCGTTTCGTAAATACTAATCTGAAATATTCAACACTCAGAAATCACTCGACTAATCAAGAATATTTATAGATACATATAGTCAATGGGATCGGATATTCTACAGCTAACTTCTGCTCCCAATAAAAATACCCTCCAGAAGAGGTTGCTGATGGGAGATTCTTCTTCTCTGTGGCACCAAGGAATCCGCGTTCGTTGCCTGAGTCTTTCGATTGACATTGAACGAAATCACAATTGTTGTTGTTGATTGAGCTGCTCAATCAATGTGACTTGCTTTCGTTGTTTTTGTGGCGGGGGGTTTCAATGTTAAGGTCCACGCCAAAATACAACAAACATTTAATGCTAATGCCCAGCCCCAAGTGCGACTTTTTCAGTATTTTTTCTCTGTTTGTTTTTTATGGCGTTCGATTCAATGAGTCTTCCCCGGCCCCCAGTCCCCGATCTCCGATATCCAGCCCCTCCACACCGCCATTGATGGTTCATGCCTAGCATAAATAAAACAACAAATTATTGTTACACATTTGGTTGCCAAGGCGGAAATAAAAGCATTAAATGGAGTCGTATCAAAATCGAATAAAAATCAAAATCAAAAATCAAAATCATAACAAAACATGAAGAGAAATCATTGGCCAGGCCAACGAGAGGAGAGAGATCTGCTCGTCGTTAAATAGAAAGTGACCGAAATGGATCTTTGGTCATAAGCAAAAACCCAAAAATTCGTCACAGTGGGAGCATACTCTAACCGCCGAAGAGTCGCTCCTATCGTTAGTCTTCGCCTCTTCTGGCCATTAATTTGTTGCCTAGGGCTTCGATACGATTTTGCCATTTTAAAGCTGCAAAAGAAATTTCCAAATATTTAATATGCACAAACCGTTTCTGGCCCTCGCAGGGGGAGGCTTGGAGAGCGGAGAACGGAAAGCGAGAGACAAAGAGAGAGGGAGAGACATTTATCTCAACAAAATCGAGAAAAAAACAAAGCGCAGACGTAGCAAAATTATGCAAATCTTAGGGCACATACAGTTAAAGCCGTCTCTAAATGGACACATATAGTATGTATATAGATAGATATCAGGAACATACACCAGCACGAGTATATAATGGATTCCACGTTTTTCGTAACTCGAAATGCAAAATTAAAGTCGCTAAACATCAACAATGGAGGATCGGTGCAATTAAAATAAAGAATTCATCTCCTAATTTCTGACCTCCACAAACACCAATCAAATGCTCATCTGTCTGTCTGTTTGTCTGTCTCCGATCATTCAAGGTTTTCGCCTATCCAAATGTCAAGTTCATCGATCCCCCAGCCCTATCTTAGTCCCCATCCATAGATCAATCTCTCTGTTCCGAAGCCAACCCACGAAGAACTTTACAGAGTTCAACCAAAAAACAGAAAACAAATAACTATAACCAATACGAGATGGAGATGAAAATATGACAAAAATGTGGCTGGACCGAACTCAAATGGCGATGGGTTCGAGCCTGAGGAGATTAAATGCAAATCATTGCTCGAGACCTCTAGATGAAACCCGTTTGGAGTTTTTCAGATGTGTCTCCGCAAGCCACCTTCCCAGCGACCCATTTCGATATTCTAATCCACAATTTGCATATTTCTGGCCATCGCGTGGATATGGCACATGTGGCTATGGCATTTGAAAGCGAAATGCCTTGAGCGAGGGCCGAGAAACAGCCGAATCATTGGGCCAATTGGCCAAGCACAAATGTGTTGAGTCAGCATTTGGAAATGGAAATGCAAGCGAAGGTTAGTGGGCCTGATCTGTCAGTTGCCCAATTACCAGGCGATTCAATTAGCGATCGGGTGCTAAACCGCCAGAAAGACGGGCAACTGTAGCATCAGTCGGACAAGAGCTGGCTGTAGTGTATCTATGGGATGAGATTCAATTCGGGTCATCTGCATGCCGAGAGATACATCCAAGACGAGTACGAGACACGTCTTTGGAGATCAACAGCGATGCGACCGTGACCGTGCATTTTGATTAAGTTGTTTGTCTTCGAAGTTCAAACCGACACTCCAACTACATGTTTGGGGCCCAACTCTGGCGCGAAGCCAGACAGACGCTACTTGGGCGCTCTGGCAGCGCGGCGGCCTTGACACAAATTTGTGGCAGCGTCAAACACAAAATTAATCTCTCCGCTGAACAAATTGTTACGCATTTTGTTCATTATCTCTTAGGCCTTAGGCAATGGCAGCAGCCCGCAACCCGCCACCCGCAACCCTTCGTGTGAGATCTAACTACTCGTACCTTGATTTGGTTTCTCCGATTTTCTCATTCGCGTCTCTTTCGGTCTTTATCGCGGATATACGCCTCATTTGCCATTAATTAGTCGACCTATTGATGGCTTCATGAGGCGAGGCGAGGCGAACAAAGGCAGACATTGTGCATGGCAGTAGTATGCCACCGAACACCACCAATGGAAGCGGGGGAAAGTACAGCTGGCAGTGTTGGGAAACGGCCTTGGCTTCGATTGGTTAACTTAATTGAAAGTTTTGAGAATGTGAAATCGATCGGAAGTGAACAGGGGAATGCTACATATAAACGCGCGAACGTACAGTTAACAGTGTTGGGCAACTGAAAGAAAGTAACATAAAAGCCAGCAGCTTATGTTTGAGCTCTATTTGAATACTGAATATTTCTATGGACCGTTTTCTTTGGTGTCAGTCCGCTGGGAAGTGTCTGCTCTCACCTAGGCGCCGCGCCTTAAGCCCTTCTGAAGGCTGGAGTACTGCCGCCACTTGTCGCTTAGGGAGGAGCACGAGCGGCCTGCGCAATCGTAGCTCGGTGATGGGATGTTCAGCTGTTCGGAGAAGCTGCAGACGGGAGCTGCTGCGCGCGTCACCCCCATGACGCTCTTGATGGGCGGCGGCTTCACCAAGCGCACCAAACGTTTTTTCTCCACGGCGGGCTCTTCCTCCAGGCACGCCTCCTCTGTCCGCTTCTGCATGGGCCTGCGTCTGTTCACCAGGCGATTGGCCATCATCTGGTGGTCCGGGGACCTGATCGAAGGCAGCTGCATGTGGTGAAAGCTGCGACGACTGTCGTAGTAGCCGCGGGGGTGTCTCCTTGGGCCCCGTCCAAGATCCCCGCTGGACTCGAGATCCTCGTCGCACCGCTGGCTGGGGCAGGTGTGCCAGGAGTGCCAGTACTTTGCCTCCTCTGCATCTTCGCGCTTGCGCAGCCACTCCTCGCTGGCGCCGTACTGTTCGTACTGCGTTTGGTTCTCGTTCTCGTGCCGGCTCATGGTCACGTCCTCGCCCCGGGACTCGTCGCGGGTCCGATCCGACCCGGGCAGATTGTAGCCCCTGCGCGACTTTTTCAGCTCGTATTCCTGCCGCTTGAGCTCCCTTACGCGCTGGTACCGGCGTTTCCTGCTGTAATCCTTGGCCGCTTTGTGAGCGGCCTTCCTCTTACGACGTTGCCGACTCTGCTGCTGATTTCGTCTGTTGTCCGCATCGTAGATAATGTCGGGCTTGGAGATTCCCGGAGCATTCCCACGGGACCACCTCCGCTTGTTTTCCTCGATGATCAGCTGCTGGCGCCGCTGGTGCTCCTGGGGGTCCTGCATGATGGCGCGCCGACCTGGCTCCCACACGGGTCCGCGTCGCTGGCTGCTGGCCATCGGCTGCCCCATGTGCTCCTCCATGGACGGATTATCGAACCGGTGCAAGTGGGAGTGCAGCTGACTGGGCGGGTCGGGGTTCCAGTGCCGCCAGTCGAAGGGCCTGTGGCTCAGGAGCCGCACCTGGCGGGGCAGGTGCTGGGGCTGCGGCAGCTTCCTCCAGCAGTAGTTCAAGCCCCGAGCCACCTTCAGCGTGCAATTCATTTCAAATATTGCAGAATTTTGTTACGGAAAATTTTGATTATTAAATACGGAAAATCGGAAATATGGAAATATGGAAAAACGGAACACAGGCTGAATAATTTTTGGTTTCTGAAATGATTGTTTGGTGTTTTTTCGAAGGGATAAATTTTGTGCACAAAGGCCAAATGGAAAATGGAAAATGTTTTGTTTTATTTGGAAAACTTTGAAAATGGATGACCGAAATTTTGTTGTACTGAATGCTTTGGAGGTTTTCGATGTCATGATCTGTAGATTTGAAGGAAAATTCAGGGCTCCAGTCTATCATTTGAGGGCAGTTTTTAAGGCATTTCAGCATAATCTGAACAGGCTGTTGGTATTTTGTAGGAACTCGTAGAAGTACATCTCAGATCTTGAGAGTGCATTCCCAAGACTTAGATGAAAGAGAACGCTCCGGACGAGTTATTCAAGTCCAAGAACCATCCAATTTCGGTCATCAGCTCAGTTTACGAGTCGATTAGCTCTGGCACTCCACTTCCTCTGTATCTACTTATCATTTTGTGGCCTTTGACTCGACTGCACTTCCGCCGGCAAGCGGATTTTGATCATGCAGACAGACGGAAGCTGCCTTGAGTGGGGTATACCGCTTATCCGCTTTACCTGCCTAATGAACCACGACTCCGACTAACCGTAAGACACTTGTTCTCTTCTGCTTTAGCTGGCCCAACCGAAACCAACGTTCAGCAGCAAATTGGCGCCACCGACGAATCTCGAGCCCTACACCATGGCTGTCATAACGGATCATGACAGCAGTAGCAGCACCATCGGCACCTCCACAAACTCCACCCCCACCGCCAACACCACCAACACTCACAACAACAACAACAGCAGCCTCAGCAATGGGAAACCACACAGCAATCGTGGGCAGCCGAGCAGCCAGCGTCAACAGCTGAGCACGGCCCTGACCATTCCAGAGTTTTTTGCCCACAAAAACATCTTCGTCACCGGCGGCACGGGCTTCCTGGGTACCGTACTGATCGAGGCACTGCTGGACACACACCCCGACATCGGCACCATCTACGTCCTCGTCCGGGGTAAGAAGAAGTTCGATCCCAAGGAGCGGATCAATCGCCTGCTTCAGAAGCCGGTAAGTGTGGTTACATTTTGCAACTAGTCACTCGGCCGGGGGACAAGGGTCACGACCAAGTCCCACCCCTGGGCACTCTCACTGACATCATAGGGTATCATTACAGCCAATTACGTGCCTCTTTATGGAGCGTTAATTTTTCAGAGTCGTAACCCGTCGAAAGGGGACGGAGACAGGCAGACGACCCACCGCGACCTCTTCCGCTTTGGCTGCTTGGCGGTTTCTGCCTCACGCCTCCTTCCACACATGTTTCCTATCTTTCTTTGGGTTATCTTTCGGGTCTGTATTCACTTCGATATACTCTCTCACATGAGAGCAGCATTTCCTAGTCCCACGCTCAAGTTTTTCCCACGTATGGCTCTGCTATGGTAGGGATATCCGAACAATCAGTATAGACACCACAAACCCAGATAAACCTCAGCCCTATAGTAATCTGTGAACCCGTAAGTGTATGCAAGACTTCGGTATTACGTCCAAGCTATTTATCTTTCCCTTTTTCTTGACGTTCGAGTCTTCCCAACATGTTGTTAATTATATTTTTAAACGCACTTTTTAATGGCGCAACAGCCACAGATTGTGGCTTGCTGGGTATGGAAATTACTTACTCAAAACCGCCCTTCCCCTGGTAGTAGTAATCATAATTTGTGGGCTCTTACCGCAGAGCTAGACACTTATCAAGGCAATGGCTTTCTCCCGCACAGATCTTCGAGAAGTACGCGGAGAAGACCCTGGCCAAGGTGGTGCCAGTCGTGGGGGAGCTGAGCGAGCCGAACTTCGGCTTCGGGCCGGAGTTGCTCCAGGAGCTGATCGATCGCGTGCACGTGATCTACCACAGTGCGGCCACGATCAAGTTCAGCTCCCCGCTGCGCACTGCCATCCGCACCAATTTGACGGGGACGATGCGGACCATCGAGCTGGCCAAGCAGCTGAAGCATCTGTCCGCGTACATCTACTGCTCGACGGCCTTCTGCAACAGCAACAACCGGGGCCTGATCGCCGAGGAGGTGTACAAGTCACAGTTCGATCCGTACGACATGATGAAAATGGCCGAGGACGACGAGGCCTGGGTGGACTTCACCGAGCAGAAGTGCAAGGGCTACATCCAGGACCATCCCAACACGTACACGTTCACCAAGAATCTGTCCGAGAATCTGCTGATGGCGGAGATGTCAGGACTGCCGGCGGCCATAGTCAGGCCATCGATTGGTAAGCGATTCATACACTCAAACAGGACAGTTCGATCACCATATAATTGATTGCCTCTGCAGTGTATGGCACCTTGGAGCATCCGATGAAGGGCTGGGTGGGCAATGCCAATTCTGGTCACTTGGGCTTCCTCGCGGGCTTCGTCAAGGGCATCTTCCGGACGATGTGCGGTCAGGCCTCGGCCGTGATTGACATCATTCCATGCGACTATGTGATCAACTCGTCCCTGGTCATGGGCTGGTACGTGGGCACCCGCCAGCTGGAGCAGCCGGAGATCATCCACTGCACCTCGGGCGAGGTGAATCCGCTGACGCTGTCCGAGTTCTGCACGACCATCAACGACAGCGTGGAGCGGCATCCGCCCAACAGTTTCGTGTGGAAGCCACTGACCAAGCTGCGCAACGGCTGGCGCTACAATCTCTTCTTCTATCTGTTTCATCTGCTTCCTGCCATGGTCTTTATCATTCCGGAGAAGCTCTTTGGCATTGGCATGCCGCAGCACACGTAAGAATCCCGCCAGTACACCGCCCGCCAGTTCTCAGATTTGCTCTCTTTCAGGGCCTATGAGTACATGCGCGTCTTCCAGAAGGGCACCAAGGCCTTTGACTACTTCCTGGACAAGGACTTCCGGTACTCCCTGAAGAATGCCCTCCGCATCTCGGCCATCATCCCGGAGAGCGATCGACGGCGCTACAACTTCGATGCCAGCCAGTGCGACTGGTCGGAGTTCATCGATCGCTGCCTCATAGGCATCCGGCGCTTCTACTTCAAGGAGTCGGCGGTCACCACGGAATGGCACCGCAACTACTGGAAGGTGTAAGTACCCTGTAAGCTCTCTCTATCTCTGATCCAAGTCTCTATCTCTCTCTCTCTCTTTCTCCTCCCTCGCATCAGCTTCAATTTCCTCTACTATGCGGGCTATGCTGTCATCTTTGGCGTCCTGTACATTGCCCTCGTCCCCTTTCTGGGCATGCAGATCGGCCTCACGCTGGCGGTGCTCATCTGGGGCTTCCTCGTCTGGCTGTAACGGACCACCCCGCACTCCGCATTCCGCACTCCTGATCCTGATCCAGACCCCCTTGGACAGTGCAATAATCCTCCTCCTTCTCCATATTCACTCTATCCCCTGTTCGTTTCCATCGTAGTTTGTCTTTGTAGGGTATCCATGTATTTTACTTTTAAGTCCTTTCGCTGAACACAATCTAGTACAAGTCAATCCTCGTCGGATCGGTCCACGGATCGAACATCCGATAGAATAAAACTGTATAATATGAAGAATAAACAAAACAAAACAAAACAACACACGAATCTATTCACACAGCAATGCAATATGTAGCCCAAAACTTAGTCACATTAATAACTAAATACCTATGTAAAAGTAAAACAAAAACAAAAACTATAACTATAACTAAAGTGAAAAGTGAAAATATAAAAAAAAACGATTGTAGATTGTTTGTAATTATCAGCCGGTATATAGTCAAATGGTCGAAGAGTACGAGAATTAAACTTTAAATAATTAAATGTGTAACTATTATGCAAATAAATACAACTTTATTATTAAGGAACACATCGCTTGTGTACTGACTATGCCCCGACAAATGGCTTCTGATCCAGAAAGGGTCTATGCTATGTCCTGCTTGCTTTTTTTTTGGATTACTATCATCTTTTATGCGCTATTTAATCTATTTTTCATCTATTTATCACAAATTTCTGGCCATTGATTTTTTTTTAATTTAGCTGGCATTAATTAAATATTTAACTGGTAAAAATTTAAGAAGAGCTTTTAATTGAGCTTTTAATTAAAGCTTATTTGTTGTTTTTTTTTCGTATTAAATGTTGAAAAAATACCTTATGAATATTACAAAAATTTTACTTGAAAAACAGAACAAAAATACTGCAAAAAACACGTACACCATAAAAACAAAAAAAAAACGTTTGGCATTTTTTGGTTCTTTTGGGTTAAAAACTTGGCTAATTTTCAAATTTTACATGTATTTTACACAAACTACCGATATATTTTTGTGCTGGCGCCCTCTTTTGATAGTTACATGAACTAAGCATGGGACAGGCAACTACCGGCCGTGTGATGGCGCTAACAATTGGGTAAAATCTAAAAAAAAATGCAATGAATAAAAGCAAGCTGCGTCTGCGCGGCTACCAGCTCGACTATGAAGAGAAAAATATATTTCTCTGTATCACACTATGATTTTTCTATATATACCTACCTATTCTTTTGCTTTTCTCTTATGGGTACTTCGGTATTTTTAACTGATTTACCCAATAATGGTATACAAATGTTAAGGGTAAGGTCAGCTAAAAAAGCAAGAGAGCACGATATCGAGAGAGACTTAGGCCACCGAAGAGAACACAACGACCACGTTACGATCATCACTATATCGTTTTCGTGGTGTTCTTGACGCAACAATGAATCTTCATTCCATACGCGTTCCCGTAAGATGCATTTGATTTGTATGGGAAAATTTTCAGCAACATGGGGAAATGAAGAGGCAGCATTGTTGTGCAACTTTGGCATGACACAAACATATGCATTTATAGGTAAAAAAACATATCATTCTAGGATAAAATCATAAATATTGTTTCAATGGAGCTTGGAACAAAACATTTAACATCAATTAAAGGAAATATGGTATAAAAAAGTACATACGCATACAAGAAACTTGGTTGACCAGCAACACTGACGTCACATTTAGTCAACATTTACGTTTTATGCTTTCGCCGTTTTTGTTTGAATCCTATTATCTAAACAATCCCATTAAAAAGAGTTCTGAAAACTAGCCAATCCTAAATAAAATTCATTGAGGAGTTGGATAAAATTATTTTTTTAGGGCTGAGAGGGCCAACTATCTAGTAATATTAAACTGAATATCAAATTTGACGAATTTCATATCACAAAATATCATGGTATGGCAGCCCGCAGCAACTACGAATTGCATGAGTATGGCAACGCCACAAAACGACGTCACATTCGTTTTATGTTTTTTTTGTTTGAACCTTAATATCTAAATAATCCAATAAAAAGCCCCGATCATTCGTAGTTTTGCTTTTGCCGGGAGCGGAGAGCGAGCGCTCCATTCAGTTTCAGCCCGAGCCGATATCGTAACTTCGCAGCTACAGACACAGATACAAAACTACAGATACGGATACGGATACGAATACGCGTGCATCTGCATTTGTGTTTGTATTTTGTTTACAGTCGCATCAACATCTTGGGAGCAGGAGAGAAAACATACGAAAGCAGCAAAAAAGAGTGGAAGAGAGAGAAGGTCGTGCTTGGGAGGACGTGGAAAAGAGAAATTGCCAATTCTAAAGCGATTTGCAAGCGATCTTAGGATCTATACTCAGCGCCAGGCAAGCGGAGCTGCAACAGGCAACATCCACAGATAAAAAGTTAGATAGATATATATATATCTAAGCCCATTTCGTACACCTGCTGAAATTATGGCCAGGTAAGTCCCACTAAATGTGGCTTAAACAATGCAAGACCCGATCGTGGACCGTGTGCATGTGTGTGTGTGTTTTTTTTTTGGTAGCCCGTTTGACAACTTTCGTCCAAATTTGTCTCTTTTCTCCGCTCGGTCGTGTGCCGAAAGCTGCTATTGAGGTTAGATATTCGGTACAAAGTTCAAAAATGCATGTAAATCATCTATTTGTGCACGATCTCTGACTTTGACTCGAGTGCATTTCTTCGAATATTGATTCCATAAACAGCAAAGGGCAGTGGAAATGTACAACAGCTACTCGTAATTCCATTCTACTACCATCTCACGACACTTTCTTCTCGTTGCGAGAATCCATCACTGGATTGATGTGGTAACTGTGTTCTCTCAGAGAGTGTTTTTACACACAGAGACAGAGAGAGAGAGAGAGTAATAGAGAGCGACTGCATTCCAGTCGCCACTCAAACTTTGACCTGTTCTCGCCTTTTCCTTGGTGACTTGTGGATAAGTGCAGTGTATCCACATATCTGTAGATCTCTGTCGCAGCATGCCGGTGATGACGTCAATGGTTCCGTTTTGCAGCTCGGCAGAAAATCGAGCGGAAAATAACAGGTTGTCAGAACTGAGAGAAGCCGAAAAACAAGATCCATTACATACTATTACATGCATCTTTGGCAAAACATAGTAATTTTAAAGGTTCATTAATAATCGCACAATTAAACCAGAGATTTATGGGCCACCGCAAGGTTGGCCATAGTTGGTAGGGTCAGTTACCCAGACAGGCCACCGAGGGCACCTTAATTGCTGAGGTAGGAATGGCCATTTAATTTACATGCATTACACTGATACTCGCATAGGGGGGTTCTTAAGCTATTAAATATAATTAAACATTGCACAGCTTATACATATGTAGGTGCATTTGGAGAACTCTGTTTCCATCGATTGTTGAGAATATTTGAGTGGCCTCCGAACACTGTTTGCTAACCTAACCAAAGCATAATTTGAAACTAATTTCAAGTAGCACCTCTCACAATACAGTAAACCCCAGCCATTATTTACCCAAGATAGGACCCACAACTGGCCAGAAGCTAAATCTAATCAGTGTTACGGACAATGCATGGTGCCAGCCAGATAAGAAACCCAATTTACCACAGCCGAAAATGGGATCAAAGACACAGAGGCAATAGAAGAAAGCGACAAGACAAGACACCAAATTTTGCTCGGGTCTTGATCGGGTCACCCGCCTGCTATGTTTCCCCTCCCTACTAGGTTGTAGCTGCTCCAAAGTGAAAGCTCAATTTAGTTATGACAACAATCTCTGACGAGGGGCCAGGGGACAACATGGGATCATTAACCATGACTTGACTTCCTTTGTATGGACCTGCAAAAGCCTCAAGCCTGTGACTACATGCGGAAATCTGCTTAATTTTTGCATATAAATATTACAATATAGAGGTACATATAGGAAATGTTGCATTTCTTCGAGTTTCTTATGCGATTTGTTATGTAGGAATTATATCACGCATTTGTTGAGGGGAAACACAGAGATCCCCTTCAATGATCATCATTATAAAATCATTTGGCATAACAAAAAATGGGGAGATGGCGCGGACTGGAGATCATTAAAAGAGAAATGCGCTTGGACTTGGCTAATTAAATGGTCAGGTTATGTGTGTTTGTCGTTGTTTGATGGGGAAAAGGTTTGCCTATACCCTGGAGACAGTTGAGAGGTGATGCGAGAGGGCAAATCATATTTTAGTAGAACTCAAAACAGTGAAGACACTAGAAAAGTGTAGCTACGATCGTCTGCTGTCTCTCTTGGAAGCATTTACAAATAGTCTTCAAGGCAGAGAAGAGATCAAGGAATATGCCTTACCTTAACTGATAACAATCAGATGGGAATAAAGATCCAAATATGTATCTCCTGTCTGAATGATACCTTCGAACATCCAAATCTATCCCATTATCCAATCTAATGGCATTCCTTAGTCGATTGGCAGGTTGTTGATTCAAATCACACGTTTCCAGCCGAGTGCGCAGTACAATGGCCAATATACCATTAGGCCAGACCTAGCAGGGACGCCCACAAATGGTATTTGAATAGTAGGAGTATCGGCAGTGACCCGAAAGCCGACACCCGACACCTGCTAACAAATCATTAGGTGGATCAATATTGGAAGAGCCACAATGAGCAGGCACTTAGAACTTGCCACTCACGCGGGAAACAGGTTTTGACTTGGAATCGAGTCGGAGATGTCCACAGAGTCGCATCGCAGCCTCCGCTCGTCAGCCCGTCCGCTCGCTTGGGGGTTTCGTAACTTTGCCACGACGCGACGCCAGCACCCATTGGCATTTGAATGGGAGATGAGAGAAAGTTTGATGAGAGTTCATTTTGATTTTATGGCATCTGAAAATACATGTAGATGCAGTTGTTACATAAACAGAGCTCGGAAAAGACGACTAACGTGATCATACGCTTTCAGCTCTTCCATCACAGACTTCTATGCGGGGCGCAATGTGTTCATCACGGGCGCCACTGGCTTCGTGGGCGTCACCATCGTGGAGAAGCTTCTGCGCGATGTGCCCAAGGTGGGCAACCTGTATCTGCTGATGCGCGCCAAGAAGGGCAAGAGCGTACAGGAGCGGCTCGAGGAGCTCAAGAAGAACTCTGTCTTTGATCGCTTCAAGGAGATGGAGCTGGAGTCGCGTCTCTCGAAGATCGTCCCCATCGAGGGCGATGTGGGCCTGGACAACCTGGGAATCTCGCCAAAGGACCGCCAGACGCTGATCGATAATGTGAATGTGGTGTTCCATTCGGCGGCCACCCTGGACTTTTTCCAGTCCCTCAAGGAGACGACCAACATCAACCTGAAGGGAACGCGACGCGTGGTGGAGCTGTGCCAGCAGCTGAAGCATCTGGACTCGCTGGTCCATGTGTCCAGCGCCTATGTAAACGCCTATCTTACAGAGGTCGAGGAGAAGCTCTATCCCTCCCCCGACGATCCCGAGAAGATCATACAGCTGGCCGAGACGCTCAACGACGAGGCGCTAAAGGCACTCGAAAAGAAGTGAGTACGCAAAGCGTTTTCCACCTGGAATTATATAACTTTACAATTGTACAATCATCTGTTTCAGACTGCTCAAGGACCATCCGAATACGTACACCTTCACCAAGCACCTGGCCGAGCACGAGGTGGCCAATGCGGCCAGCAGCTTCCCCTGCGGCATTGTCCGCCCCAGCATGAGTGAGTGACAGACAGACGGGGATCTGCGCTGATCAGATATTGAAACATCTCCTTTCAGTCACGGCAGCCTGGAAGGAACCCATTCCCGGGTGGACCATCTCGAAGAACGGTCCCCAGGGCTTCTTTATGGGCGCCTCCAAGGGAGTGCTGCGCCGCCTGCCCCTGGATCCGAGCATCATCATGGACTACATTCCCATCGATGTGGTGGTCAATGGCATCATCACCACCGGTTACTATGTCAATGCCCTCAAAGCGAAGAACGCCGGCCGTCCCGCCGAGCTGCAGATCTTCCACCTGACCTCCAGCACGTACAAGCCCTTCCGCTTTGACCTGATGGCAGAAAAGATCAACAGCTATCTACACGACTATCCCCTGAACAGCGCCGTCTGGTATCCCAATCTGAAGCTGGTCAAGAGCCTTTGGGTCTTCCGGCTGAGCGCCATACTGTTCCACTTTGTGCCCGCATTCTTCCTGGATATTGTTACCCGCATCGCCGGCGGCCGTCCCATGTGAGTAGCGCAGAGATCTCTCTCAGAGTAGGAGTTAATTTCCCTCTGACCGCAGTTTGATGAGGCTGCACAAGAACGTGTGGAACTCGCTGAACACCCTGGAGCGCTTCATCTTCACAGAATGGCACTTCGACAGCAAGCGTCTACTGGCCCTGTCCAAGTCCATGGACGCGGTGGACAGGAAGAAGTTTATCATTGACATTGGTGAGCTGACGTGGGACGAGTACTTTTCCAATACCATTCGCGGCGTGCGTCAGTACCTCAGCAAGGAGTCGCCCAAGAATCTGGAGAAGGCACGTCGCAAGGATAAAATGTTAGTGATCATATAGCAACGCACCCCATTCCATCGGTATACTTACCCATCTATTCCACAGTCTTCTGGGTCTGCATGTGGCCCTCCAGCTGCTCTTCTGGTTTGGAATCTTCAAGCTGATCGTCTGCATCTCGGGAGTCTCCAACGCCAAGGCGGCACTTATATTGCCCGTCTTCTATTACCTGTTCGGACTACTCTAGGGCGGCCGTAGTTTTAGTTGAGCATTCTCTCAATGTTATTAACGCTAAATGCAATTTGTACAAGGTTGGGTTTTACAATAAATTAAAACACAAAAAGTAAACAATGAATGGCGCGTAAAAGTGGGCTTTGACGAAACGGAACGGTGAGCAGCGCAATCGTGAGTTTGGCAGCAGGCGTTAGTGCTTTTTGCTACTTGGAGTACTGCAAAACGCTTTCCAACACTTATTCCCGCGATCGCGATCGCCTGCTCCGTTCGGTGAAAAATTACAATAAATTAATAAATTTAGTGCAACATTAAATATATTATAAGCAAAACGAGTGCGTTGGCGTTGTCGTGGCACTGTGCGTGGAACTGAGTGCGATTGGCGAAAAACGAAACGAAAAAAGGGAGAAGCAAGAGAAAGCAAATCACAACAACAGTGAATGGGGAGGGGGCCATAGCCAAAAGCCACAAAAATATTGAGAATCACAGTTTAATGCTGCAACACGGATCCGAAATCTACAATAGCAGCAACACCTGGAGCTTCACTGTACGTGCCACATATCTTATTTATTTGGTGAGTGGGAGGAAGGGCATCGAAATGTTTAAACAAAGAGAGAGACGCGGAGAGTAAAGGATCTCTCGCAAACACATACACACCCACTCAAAAGTGTCTGGCGCATTTTGGAAGGGGTATAGGGGCAACGGGACCCGAGCAGCTGCTTTTCCCCAAAAACAAATTCGAAAAAACAACATATACACACACGCATGCAAGGAAAAAACACCTTTCCACATATGCAACAAGTTGTGCATGCGCTGTTGCTGGGGGAGGGGTATTGGATTGATTTCCCCATCGTTTACCGTTCATTTTTGGACGTTTTTGCTTTTTATCTACTATTGCGTAGTGCCGCCGTCGCGCGCTGCCAATGTCACCTGTCTTTATGCGCTGCTCTCGCATATTTGCTCTCTCTCGCTTCCACACTGGTTTTTATCTCTCTGGTGCCGTTCACACTGGCACAGACGACGACTCGACGATCTACGTGTCCCTTTCGCACGCCCATTTGCCCGTTGCTGCTCAGTGCACGTAACTGTATTTTGGCATGCATGTGTGTGTGTGTGTGTACGTGTGTCGAGTGTGGAGGAGAGTGAGAGTGTGTATATTTCCGCCTATTGATAACAGAATAACTGTTGGTCGATGATGGGTGGAGCAGGGGGATCCACCATCGTCATGGCCTTAATTCGTATGGAAGTATAGTCCGAATATCAGTTATATTTTCATTCTCCCGCCTCCCGGCGCATCATCCCAAATTCTAATCGCAAAGTGCAAATATTGATTTTCTATAAGTATGTGTGTGTGTCATGTTTATGTGTAGCTTATACCCTTTCCAGAAAAAGCATTTCAGGGCACATCTATTCCGGATCAGAATACAGAATACAATACAGTTTTTTTCTATTCTCTGCGCTTACACTGTCAAATCTAGCACCCATCTTACGCAGCCCCGTCTTATCTCTCCTTCAGTGGTTATCATTGGCTTATAATTGGATTCTTAAGTTTGATAGAAACTGCTAGGAAGAAAGAGTCCAATCAAAATGGAACTTGACATTAAAACATAAACTTGATATCGTTGATTAGTGCCCATCTATTAAGAGTTTCCATCAATCTCTCGGGAAGGTCCCCGTATCTTCGTTGCTCCAAAATCTAACTCTCATGAAATTGTAGCACCTTATCAATAACAATAGTCAGTCATTGTTTCATTCGTGTTTATTTTTTTTTGGTCCCAGTATTAGAGAAACAAGTTCACAAAACTTTTGAACTTTTGTCTGCCCCGAACAGATTTCGTATCTGTATATGTGTCGTTGTTCGAGTTGTATCTGTATCCGTAATTGCTGCCATTTCATATTACGTCTTTGTGTTGTTGCTGTTTCAGCGGGAATTTCCCGGCATTAACCGAGTTGATAGTACAAATATACTAAGGGTAAATACATACATATGTATGTACATATACAATGAAATGCTGAAATTGTTGATCTGGGGTTCTGGTGTAGCTTACAAGTGCTCCCTACAGTAGGGACTCTCGAAAACTTTCCATTTCTATCCGTACACTCAATGAACTCAATGAAAAGTTCCCACCACAATGCGAATACGATTGTAATCAATCTTATCAGTTTTCTGCATAAAATTGGGTTTACTTTATATGGCAGTATGTCCCCCCTAGAGATAAGCAGAGTGGAGGCTCTCTAGTGGAACCCCTCCAGTGAACACACCTTTCGGCGCGGACAGGCGCCTAAAAATAACTCCATATTGATTATTTGCACATTTCCGAAAAGAACAGAACAGTTCTTTGAAGAAGCTCATTCTCACACAGAAAAAGAGAGAGAGTACACGATCGATTATAAATAAATAAATAACCTGCATATATAGTATTAATGCCTTTTATTTTCGCACTACGCGGATCGGACAGGACAGGAGAAGAGTTCCATTCTCGATCCCCTTTCCCCAACCTATCCCAAGTGCCCCATGGCTTTTCCATTTCCAATTCTAAAAGTCGCGCCAATGACGTCAGTCCCAAGGCCTGACGTCTGCACAAAATTCCGCAAAACGCCTCTTCAAATTATTGGCAAGCAGTCGGGACGGAGAGAGTACGGCGGAGAAGAGAGAGAGACAGAGAAGACGTGAAGGAGAGTGGGAGGAAAAGAAAAGCAGAGCACAAAAATATTGTACAAAATAAAATTATTTTTGTTCCATTTCTCTCTGGTTTTGATTTTCTTGTTGTATTTTTTCGGTTTTTTGCCTCCATTCCTCCATTTCATGTTGTCTCCTGCATTTGATTTATAATTTTCACAATTTCCAACGTTCTCCATTCTTGCTTCTTCTCTCTCTTACTTTGCGTTAAATTCCAAATATTTGTTGTATTTTCCACAAGAAAAAGTGAAAGTTGTTTTCCATGTTATTTATTTTTTACGCCAGCTTCTTCAGCTTTTTATTTCTGTTATTTTGGTATTATTGTTGTACTTTTCGGTTAGTTCTTGTTTTTACGCATTGTCTTTCCCTTTGTCGTCCGTCCATATGTTTTGTGTTCCCAACGGGGAAATGAGAGGAAGGAGGAGGGACCTCTTGGTACGTAGTTCCTTTAGCAATCTATTTTTTCGGTAATTTCTTTTTTTTCCATCCCCACAAAATTATTTATGTATATTTATTTATATTTTTGACACGCCAGACAGCGAGATTTCCGGTCAATATGCATTGATACTCTCCTCAAATCTCAGTTGGACGGCACGGGACCCTGGCCTTCGGGGGGCTGACAGTTCGATTAATTCCCTAAGATTTCGGTTATCAGATTGAATTGTTTGATAGACACTGGGATTTGTGGCCGCCTCTGGGACTGTAAATCAAAATGAAAGCTGCCGGAGGAAAACCCCAACATCTAGTGATCTAGTTCTGAACGTTTAAGAAATGCTTATTGCTGAATGAATCTTTGCTGCAATTCTTTTTCAGTTTATAATCTGTTTGAATCATTTTTGATCGATAACTATATTTTGTAGTGTTTCTTCGGTTTTCCACCTTTATTCCCTTATTGAATTTATAGCCCTGAACCTTCTACATTATTGGATCATCGGAAAAACCCCTATATCATCCTTCAACGCGGCCTCTCTTTTATATTTTCCCATTTAATGAATGGGAATTTTGTTCCACTACTTACAACAGTTTTCGCCTCCATTTCCCTTCCACCTGTACAATCCCCACGCAATCCATGATCCACATTGTGGAACCTAAACAATCCGTGGGCTGGGCGCTGCCATAATTTTAATGACTTTGTAAACTTTTTGTTGTTTTTGTTTGTGTGTTTCCCCATAGTTTTTCTTTTTAGTGTGTGTTTGTTTTATGTTTTTTTGGCACACAATGCGAAATTGTTGCTGTGTGTTTTTATTGTTGTTATTATTTCTTAGCAACTTTTATGTTTTTTTTTTGCGTGTCCTCGAAATAAACACACACAAAAAAATAAAGTTCCAAATGGGAAGAAGACAAATGATGTTTTACCTGAAGCATCAGTACATATGTATACATATATAAGATATCGAAATGAATGTGTACAGTGCGTTTTGAAACTCTATGAATACCCACTGAATATATATCCACACACTCTTCTTCCATATCTTCTTTATCAGCCTGCCCCTTTTTTGCTTTTACAGATAACACATATAACTGCACCAGATAGCTTACGTCTCTTGCTCCCTTTCTTCCGCTGGCGTTTTACTGCTATTTACACAGCGATGCATTCTATTGCGTTTCATTTAACTACGAATATTTTCTGCCCTGTCTTTTCCTCTGACTCTAAACTATGATCGGTAATCTGCAATCCCCTTTTTATGATAACTGAGCTTATTATTACTTGGTTTTAAGTTGATAATTCAGATACGATTTGATATAAAGCGAGTTGATTAAACTATCGTGTTGTTATAACTGATTTCTGGAATATGTGGATAGGCAGTAAGGGCAAGAAAAAGCTGTCTGATGGAAGCGAAACGCAGTGTACACAGTACGAAAACATATGTATGTATGATTTCTGCATCTAGGTACATATACTATTATCATTCCACACGTGTACTCTCAGTTTCTTCTTTATACTAAATATAGAGAGCGGCAAAGATTGCATATATTTGACGTCGATTTCCGATTCTGCATTCTAGCATTTCTATATGTACCTACATATCTCCTTCTATCTGCCTGCATCTGCATCTCTATCTTTATCGGTGTATTTGTGTTTCATGCATCTGAGTGTATCTGTGTATCTGGCTAATTGTGAAGGTCGTTTACGTCTGCAGTCGATCGCCTTTCTCTCTGGTTCTTGTTGTTGTTGCGTCTGCCACCACCCGCTACAAAAGGCCGAAAGGCAGACGAAGAACATGAAGGAAAAGCACACAAAATTAATTTTCATTCCCTCCCCCTCTCTTCTGTCGCCCCTACATTCGATTTGATCTCTTTTCCACCCCTCGAAAATTCCTAACCAAAAACAAAAAAGAAAAGGAGAACAGAATTTGTTTATATTTATACGCTAAATATTTTCAAATATCAGATCGCAATTTGCGTGTTCCGCTCATCTCCCATCCCATCCAATGCCCGCCGGCCAGCCCATAAGTACACCACCCTCCCCAACAGAAGGGTGAGACGGTGGCGTTGGAATTTTATTTTATGGAAGAGCCACATTTCAAGAGGAATTATTCTTCATAATTCTCAGAGGTCTTCTCTGAGGTTTTTCTCATCTTTAATGACTTCTTTATTTCGCACGGATCTCTAAAGTGTTGCCATCCCACTCCGTCGAAGAATATTGAGTTTTGTTTAGTTTGAGATTTAAAATAAACAAAAATTTGCTGGAAAGATGGAATATTTTTTGAAGTCTTTAGTTTTGGATACACTGCCAGATCGATTGCTTTTATGAAAGAAGAGCCTGGGATGCGGACCTTCAAGTGCGCAGCCAGTTCTATCGCTTCCCTCCGGTACTGGGCATCCGATTGCCTGCAACAGAGAGATGATCTTTATTAGCGATAATTTCTCCGAAAACTTTTAGTTACAATCCTCTTCTTCGCTGGCATTACACAGACATCTACTTTAAGTCCCAAGACCCTGTCTGCATAATATAGGGTATAAAATAGAATAGCTGGAAAAGAAACGAACAACGGGGGAAACAACAACTAAATTGAGATACATTTTTAATATATTATTTATGCTTTGGTGGCCAATTTTAATGGCGCCATCGCTTGCAAATTAAGTGCTATATTTTATAATTTATTTGTATCTCTTTTGCCGTCGGACATGGTTCTGTTTTTTTGTATCTGCTTCTGTTTCGGGGTTTATTGTTTGTTTTTATTCATTTTGTCAGAGTTTTTTTGTGGCCATCTCCTGGGAAAACAGGTGAGCCGCTGCCGCTGCGAGGGCGGTTCTTTCTAATACTTGGCTAAGCCATGGGTTTATCTAAGCGTTTTTCATATACCGGCAATTAAATGTTGATCCCATTTGATGGGTATTTCGTTTTTTTTGTTAACTCTTTTACCTCAGAAAAAATATCATTAATTTTGCGCAGATTTTTTTCTATATTCAAAGATCAAGATATACAGATACATATATACATACATATGTATATATGTATATATGAATATATCAAATATTTCATTCAATTTTCTTTGGTTTTCGGTGTGTTTGTGCAACACCCACACAAAAGTTTATTTTTATAAAATAAAGAGAGAGACGGAGCGAGAGAGAGCCACCTATACAATTGCAATAAAACAAAATTAAAATTTCTTGTTTAAATGCTGGCATTTGTGTGGTGCAAAAATATTGAATGATTTAATTGATTCGGTGCGGTTACTCTACACTTTTTCTGTGTGTCTCTTTTTATGCGTATGCTTAATGCAAGAAATTTGAATAATTTATAATTTGATTTTGGGATATTTGGAATGAAAATTACGTTACCTCTATACAGACAACATAGCCATACAAAAATCACAATATCAAATGACTACATCGCCAGGCTACAATATAAAGACGGGATTTGTATTCGTATTCATAAAATCACGTACCATTCTCAAGCCCTTTGAATGTTTTCAAATTATTGCCACAGTCACACTCCGAACAATTCGATTTTATCCGATAAATTTCAAAGAAACGATCGTTCCATGAGAGTATCCACAGGTTCGGTTGCTCATTTGCTGTTTTCTCTCGTGATTCTTTGTTTACGCTCTCCCAAACAATTTAACTCACACACACACACAAATGCAGAGATAGCAGACAATATACGAGTGTTTGTGTGCGTATTTGTGTTTTCTGCTCATTTTCCTCGCCGCATTTTCAGTCGTTTGATTCTCGAAATTATGCGATTTTTAGTTTTTCAGTTTATCGCTGGCATTTAAGGCGTTCGAAACGCGCACCAAGATCGAATACAGATCGAAAAATAGATATTTCTTGTGGGAAAACTGCGTGAGATTTTCTCGATTAAAGTCGGGAAAAACCATTAGAAATGGCAATACAATTTATCAAGTGTGTTTAAAAAAGGAACAACTGCAACTTCTGTGTGGAAAATCGAGGGAAAAAAAAGAGTAGCAGATAAAAATGTGAAAAATGTTAAAGTTTAAATTCAAACATTGAAAAATTAACAACAAAAGAAAGTGCAATAAAAACAAGACAAACTACACAAAAGAAATACACATAAATTATATCTGAAAGAATAATTTGAAATATTTCCAAACAAAATTAAAACTTTATTTCCCAAGAGTAATCTCAAATAGTTATTGAATACACAAGTTGAAATACTATCGCTTGGGAAGCCCTATTTATCAGTTTTCATCGACAAAATGTAAGTGGGAGCAGATATAGATACGTATTATAGATATGCTTTCATCTATACCTGAACCTGAAGAGGCGCCCATTATCTCTATGGGGTGTATATATCCTATATACATACATATGTACCTAATATATCTATAGATGGTTTCTGTGTACTATATAGGGAAACGGATTATTTATCACTGCCATCCTTGACAATGGCCGAGAGTCGGCAGTGGAGAGGCAGAGAGATATAGACAATATGCCACATCGATCGTTGTGTCATAAATATTTTTAAACATACCCAAGAGACACCTCTCCCTCTTCCTATTTTTCTCTTGCTGTTTCTGCTGCTGTTTTTTAAAAACAATATTTAAAGCCTCTTAGTTAATGTTCTAAATCGGGCCATGGATTCACCCGCATGCAACACTCGCATCCGAGTGCCGGGGGCAGATACTAATTGAATTTGTGACATTACCTGACTGATTCCCTTCTCCTCTTTCCGCAGGTCTGCAGCTGTGACAAATGATGGCCTAAAATGGCGGCTACACCACCAATGCCGCCCGGATCAAACAGTTACCCATTGAATGGCAGCAGCAGCTTCAATCCAGCGGAAGGAAACACCAGAGGAAGGAGCAGCAGCAACAACATTAGCGAGGCAATCAATCAGCACTTTCTGCGGAAGAAGGAAGCTCCACCGACGAGTCAGAGGAGTCACTGCGCCAGCTATGAGCAGCTGGAGCTACTGGAGCATCCACAGCCAGCAGCAGCAGCAGAGGCGGCAGCAGCAGCAGCACGACCAGAAGCAGAGGCAGCACGCAAGCAGAACACGCATTGCCACTGCACGAACATCAGTATCATGCACCTGTTCCACGAGATGAAGCAGGAGTTCCCCACGATACCCGATGCCATTGTGACGCAGTGCGTCAGCGAGAATTGCCATCAGCGCGAGAACTGTATACAGATGTTGAAGAAGGAGCTGGCCCTGCATCCGATACCTGTCCAGAGCTACCCGGCCAAGGTGTTGCAACAACAGCAACAGAGGCAGGCCAAGCCTCCCACACCGCTGAAGCCATCGAGAGTGGCACCAACACAACCCCCAGTACCGAGTCTGAATGGGAATGGCAATGGCAATGGCAATGACGATGCCAGCCCCAGCCCCACTCACAGTCCGAGTCCCCAGCCCCGGCCGCGACCCACCACGCTCAATCTGCAGCGTCAGCTGAATGCCCAGCTGCAGCAGAAGATCCACCAGCGACAGCAGAGGCAGCAGCGCGACAACCAGCCCCCGCAGCTCACGCCCACGTCGCTGAACAAGCCACTGCGTCGGGCGCCAGCCCTGCCGCCGCCACCTGGGCCACCGCTAGCACCCAAGCCGAGCTTCTCGAACGATTCCTCCTGCCTCACCAGCCCCATGAGCTCTAGTGAATCGGAATTCTCACTCAACGCCGTCTCCTTATCTTCGCCGACGTCAGCAACAAGAGCAGCAGCAGCAGCTACAGCGACAGCGACAGCTACAACGCCTCAACAAGCCTCTCCGGTGCGGCACCGTTCAGTCATCAATCTGCAGCCGGAACTGCCGTATGCACGCGATTTCCTCAGCAACAGCAGTGCCCTCTCGCCAGCGTTGACGCCACCGACGCTGCCCGGATCCCCTGGCTCGGCCTCCGCCGTCTCGCCGGGTCGCAAGAGCTTCACCTCGCTCAATCTCACGCTGCGCCAGCCGACTGGCGGCGCCCAGTCCGCGATCGACATCACCGCCGGTCCGGCGCCCAGTGGCCAGGGCAGCGGCATCACCTACTCCAGCGTCAGCTTCGACGCCCGCCGGGGGACGCATAAGAACTTCCAGCTAACGGTCACGGACGAGGGCAGTGTCTTCAGCGCCGGCTGCATCCGTCCCCAGGCGCCGTACGCCGCGTGTGAGCCGCAGCAGCAGACAGCAGTTCCTCCGCCACGCCAGCCCCCGCCCCCGCCGGCGGCGTCGCTTCTCTCCACCGATGGACTTTCACCTTCGGACTGTGACATGCCTGAAGTATTCCCCTACCCCACGCAGGCCCAGAACCACGTTGTCGCCTCCAACTACAACACGAACCATGCCGCGGACACCAGCAGCGGCAACAACAACAACGGCAGCAGCAGCAACGACAGCAGCCCCGTCAGCATGCCCCTCTATGCGGGGGTTCTCGAGGAGTGCGATCCTGAAGGTGAGTTCCCGATCAGGGAACCCTAGAGAAACTCTCTTTAAGTCGAAGACTGTCCCTGGACATTGTAATTTCGATCATTTCATTTCCGTGTGGCACATGTCTACCATATATTCCTACACATGTTCCGACATGGGTTCCAATGTGCTTTACGCCTTATCGAGCCACCCAGACGACGTCGTAGTTTCGTTCTGTGTTTCGGTTATCGGTGCAGGTTCGCCCCAATATTGTTTACAATTGATAACGAAATTGAATTACGCCCCAAAATAGAATTAGCGGGAACTCTCTGCCAGAAAGAGAGAGAGAGAGAGAACCTTCATTCGTAGAAAATTCTCAGTAAATCTCTTTCCGAAGGGTAACAGATCGCTAGCTCATGGAAAGGGGTAGGGTTCAAGGCTTTCCCATGTCCATTGGGTGGGGTTACACTCCAATATGATTGATACTGGAATTATAGGAGAGTTTATGGTCGAAATCGGTTGAATTATCAAATAAATTCTGATAAAATATAAGAAATTAAGTTATTGACGTCACGGAATAGAATAGATTTAAACACTGAAGACAGTAGACGGCAGTTGGTTATCAGGCCAGAGACACACATATCGAATATAATCTAGGAAATATCTGATGAATTTTATGATATTCACACTTCCCATCCCCCTACGGGGATTATAGGTCCATCCTTCCCCCATCTCAGTGTACAATTTTCAACTTTGTTGCATTTGATTTACCCTTTTGCAGAATATACGATATATACACAAACCGATCCCCGACACACACACACGTACACAAATAATATATATATACAGATATGTATATACGTTTGTAGGACGCCCACGCGCTCGGAACTTTATAGATTGAAATGTCTTTTGTCTGGCTTCTGCTTTGGCTGTGTTTTCCCTCACTCTCTCGGTCTCTCTTTCGGCATCGTTCAAGTTCACGGCGATGCAGAGAAAAGTAGACGGGGGAAAATAGCGGAATCGACTCTGGGTGGGGGGCGGCGGGCATTAAGCATACGCAGCGTGGGCCCCGCCGAGCTGACGGCTTTTCCACTTTGACATTTAATCACGCGACAATCGACGTCCGACGGCCATTAGAAGCACTTTAAATGTCGTCGCCTTTCAGCCGGAATTCAGTTTGGAATTTGGGGACGGCAACACTTTTCGCCCATTAATGAATTAATTTTTCAATTAAAATGCCTCCCCTTCCATCCCCTCCGCCCAATATCCCATACGATGGATAGAGAGATGAGATGAGAGATCCCTTGGCCCACTGCCCTGTTGGCTATTTCCGTTGGAGATCTATCAGAGGCGCGTCTAAAAATAATCAAAACAGTCGAAAAGTCGCACAAATCAAAATACGAAATGCATCAAAAGATCATTCTATTTATAGTCAGGCAGTCCTATATGTACACTGAAAGAGCACAGGAGGGGTATATTGGCTCCGTCTAGGTGCATGTAACATCCCGAAGGAAGTGTTTCCGGGCCCCATTAAGTACAAGTATTCTAGCTTAGAATCAATATTCGATCGATACATATTTTTGTCAAAACAAAGTGAATTAAAAGCACCGAGTGCCTATTCGGCAAACACCTTTCGTTCATTTCGTTATATTGAGCAAAATAATAATCATTTATTTTTACCCATTTTCTTTCGTAGAAATAAATTATTATTAGATTGATTTTCGGTTGTGTTGTGGCTTCCCATGCTTGCGCATTTTCACTAAATTTATCTTTCGCTTTAAATATAAATTCTGTTTATGAACCGAACCTTCCCTCCCCTGCGGCAGGCAGGCAGAGGAGGCACGCGAGTATTTTTAGCCTCAAAACAGAGTAATAAAATGTGATGTATTGGCCAGTAAAAATAACTTTCGGCGAACATTCGGAACATCGCGAAATCATTTAACATGTGTTGCCAGGCAGCAGAACTTTCAATTCCCATTCCCATAATCGATCGATTAACCATTTTCCAAACACTTTCTGTTTCCCCCCTGCTCAGCTCGAGCGGCGACCATTGAGCGTCAGAAGCAGCGGCGGGACAAGCTGGCCAATGTTTTGAGAGACAACAAGAAGCGACTGCTGGTCCTGGAGCAGGAGATCAACATACTGACCGAGCCCGTGCCGGTGGGCGAATCTGAAAGACTGGATAGAGATATCAAGAAACTGACTGAGGACTGCCAGCGGCTGCTCAACTTGATCAACGGTGAGCCGAGAGTGCCCCATTCGTCTGTGTGTGCTAATGCTAATCAATGTTTCTTTTGTAGAACCGCAAGCGAATGGCTCTGGTCCTGCGCCAAATTCCATGAATCGTCAGCACTCGGCCCCAGCCAACAATATCCAGCAACAGATACAACAGCAGCAGCAGCCACAGCCATTCCCACGCCAGCGCCCATCTGGTCGCTCCCAGGCGCCGCCCAGCTCGTTGCGTCTCCACTCTGTGCCGGCCCAGCCAACAGCCCAGCCGGGTCCTGACTTTGTGCAGCACCACAGCAGTGCTCCGACTTCTGCCTGCCTGACGCCCCAGCAGCAGCTCCAGCTGCAGCAGGAGCCGCCGCCTACGTATGCCCAGTACTACCAGTTCCAGCAATATCTGCAGCAACAGCGACAGCAGCAGCTCCAACAATTTCAGCTGCAACAGCAGCAGGCGCAACAGCAACAACAGCAGCAACAGCAGATGCCTGCTCAGCGTCCAGCAAACGACGAAGAAGAATACCTATCGGACTCGGACGTGGACGAGGATGAGGAGCCACTTGACATGTGGGCCTGCAATATGTGTACATTCCGCAATCATCCGCAATTGAATATTTGCGAGGCCTGTGAGAACGTTAGGATCCAGCCGGGTATGATACGCATTGTCCCTAGCGGAGGTGGTCCTGGAGCTGCTGATGGAGCTGCTGGCCCGCCCTCTGCGAACCTCGAGCAGCAGCAACCGCAGCAGCCCCAGCAGCCATATGCCTTGCATACATAACCCATCCAGAAACGGAATGCAAAGTTCTCCTAACATGCATGCGCTCGCTTTTGATTGCTTACCCCCACAAGCCAGATCGCTCGCACGCGTCCTGCATGAGTCCTGCTGATAATGGTGGACTTTGAAACTGTGATAGCATTTAAATTAGTATCGTTTGGCCCTGGCCCGGCTCGATAAAGTGGGGCTCAACCTGAAAGACATGTCCAAGCAAGCCTCAGTGCCTCAGCAGCAGCATCGCGTTAACGATAGCATTAACAGTAACAGTAATAGTAACATTAACAGTTGCATAGCTCTAAGCAATGAAACAAAACAAAGTTTATTATTTTTAGCAACTTGATCAATAAAGAACGTTATTTAAATATTTAAACCCGCTTCGCAAGTTGTCGCTCTACACGTTTGCACGTCCCTCTCATTGGTTGAGCGCAGAATATATATTTTGTGGCCCACTCTATACTTTTAGGCCCAGTGCTGAGTCGTGAGGATATACATATAACGCTCTCGCCTGGCGAAAACCGTGAGTAGAACTTGCTGGAGAAGCCCACGAGATCTGGAAAATCAACTGAATCCTCCCTCCACTCTCTTGCTTAGGTATTATACACTCCTGGATACTATCATGACAAATGGCCAAACGCTCACCATAACCACCCAGCCAACTGCAGAGATATTTATTGTAATTCGTTAATCTACGTTTATTTTATTATTTAATTTGCTCTTTTAGTAACTTATCCGTAAAAAATTGTAAATAATACGTAAGAGAATATTTAGCCAAATGCTGCTGGCAGCAATTACTGTATTTCTACACTAGCTAAGCCATTATCATACATTGATTCTGTAAGAAAAGACTTTAAGTAACGTGTCGCATCAACTGAAACTAGCAAGTAATTTTCGAGATGGAATACATTGTACATTTTGTAGATAATTACCTGGTGAAAACTAACTGAGTTAAGGTTTTCTATAAGAAACAAGAACACACAAACAGCCAACAAGCAAAGAAACTTTTGTAAGCTTATCAAGAGCCGCATATTGAACGAAATTAAAATGCAAGTTGATAGAATTTGTTTCGTGTTTTAAATTTTCCGACCAATCGACCGCACACGCAATCATGCTATCGATATCCGAATTAACGCAAAAGGAGCGTCACAATATGGAAAATGGACGTTTTCGGGCGTTTTCGAATTTAAGTTAAGTTACTTATTTTCCTCGGTATATTACGGTATATTGTGAACATGAGTAGGTATATTGTATATTGGTATATTTCTGAGGGTCAGTCGGTATATTTGACAGATAAGTCCGCGGGCACACTGATCCCAGGCGCTTTAAACGTATAAAATTCGGATTAAAATCAGTGAAAACAGCGAGAAAGGCAAGATGGCCCATTTCGTCCACAATCCATGTAAGTTGAAACTCAATTACCGGATGGAATCGCACAATCGCACGCCTTTTCGTTGTTGCGAAATTCTTGCACACATTGCACGCTCTTCCTTTTGTCGTTGCAGCGGAACAGAACTATTACTTCAAGAACAGCATTGCCTACACAGAAGACCACATTCCAGTGCAGAAGCTGTATATGTACAAGATCCCAACGGATGTAGGTGTCCTGTCGCCCTTTTCTCCAGCTTTAAACATACTCTGAAACATTCCACTTCTTATCTTCCCTCGCAGTTAAGTCAATTAACGCTGCATTCACACTTCTCAAACTATGGACGCGTTTTGCGCATGCAACTTTTTGGGCACAGTGGCGGTAGACGAGCTACTGGCAGACCAAATCGCTATCGGTTCCAAACTGGCTGTGTATTCTATGAGAAGACACAGGACGCCGCCAAGTGAGTATGCCGGCCACACTACTGTGTGTGTGTGTGTGGCGCCCGCCAGATTTGGACCCTCTTCACTGATAACTCTCCCATTCTTAGAGCACTGCACAGCCGGATACACCATGTAAACGGGCGTCGGTTCAATGTGCAAGCCAGCGATAGCTGGCATCAGCCAGATGCCTTCGGACCAGACGACCAGGAGGAGGCAGGGCAACTGTTTCCGCTCATTTTGAATCTCAACGATCTCTGCTTGGAGATGGTGATGAGTTATCTCTCGATGCACGACCAGATGGTCTTCGCTCGGACATGCCTTCGCTTCCGCGCCGTCTACCAGCAGGCCACGGCCAGACTGCACAAATCAATTGATTTGTACGATTTCGAGGGCCTGACTGTCTGGGACCTTCGAGAATTTTTCAATCTATCTGGTGCCTATGTTCAGAACATTACCGGAGTGATTCCGCCGATGCGCTTTCAGCGCTTATGCGACTTTCTTGCGAACAATTGTTTGAATTTGAAAACCTTGACGCTGCACGCCAGCCCGTTGACACCGCGAAATATGTCCAAGATCTTCGCCAAAATGACCAAGCTGGAGGCGCTGGAACTGCCCCAGAATCAGCTGACTGATGAGTGCATCTCGGCCCTCAAGAACTGTCGAAGCCTGAAGTTGCTCAATATTGCTGGCAACCCAATTACCGGAGCATCCCTGGACGAGCTCTCCCCATCGATTGAATGTCTCACGCTGTCGGGATGCCCTCGCTTTCAGGGCGAATATCTCTCCAATATTTGCAAGGCGTTCACCAACCTAAAGACGCTGAACGTGAAGAACATTGACACAATGAGTTCTCAAGCCTATAAAACGATGATCAAGGAGAACTCGGGCGCTTCTTTGGAGGTGCTTCGCATAAGCGCCGTGCCAAGGGAGACGTACGAGTACGTGGCCCAGCTGCCAAACCTTAGGAGCTTGACCATTTATATCGGCCTACCTGGCCGCACCCTGCGCTTGGAGCTTTTTCAACAGCTGGCCGAACATAAGGCCGAACAGCTGGAGCGCTTAGAGGTTTATGGGGGCTCCGCTTTGTCCCCGGAATTGTTTCTCCACATTGCCAAATTAAGAGGCCTGCGCACTCTTATCCTACCTCAAGTCCTTGCTATGACTGACATTGCCCTGACGACGTTTTCGAGCCTCAAAAATCTGCAGCAGATCAATCTAAAGTGCAACAAATTGCATGACTCTTCGGTTTTGTTTCTGTTCGAAGCTTGCCCCAAGCTGCATACCCTAGGTCTAGAAGACTGCGAAGGAATAACCGAGAAATTGGTACATGGAATCGTCAAGAAGCTGCGCACGAACATTGCGAACAAGGAGAATCAACGCAACTTGCCAGTCCAGCTCTGTGTATCGGGCACTCAAGTCAACAATCTCATCAATCATGTGAGTCCTGGACGCTTTTATAGATCGAATTCGCGAATTGATTGACCATCTTCTGTTGAAATTGCAGCATCCTGATGTCACTCCCAAGGATATCATTGAGGTGAAGAACGTTTGCAATTGTAACTATGATGCCATGTATCTGGACTTTCACAGCCTGGTGTTCGATGACTTTGACTTTGAGCCAGACGATATGGACGATCTGGACGATGATTTGGACAGCGAGTCCGATGCTGAGTCGGACTACTACGGCGATGACATGTTCGATTTCGGTTTCCTAAGCGCTAACGACGACGAAGACTCTGACTTCGAGGTTGGCTACCATCCTCCCCCATGGGAGTAGTAGCCTTGCTACTGAAATGTTACTTTTGGTTTGCCACATCGTTTCATTGAATTTGATTATTTTTAACACACATTTTTATTCAAGAATCAAGAATATTTATAATTTCCCCACTGTTGAATTTCGAAATGGATTGATTATGTACAAATAAAGAAGTTCGAATGGATAATGAGCATCTAAAATAATGATTTCTTTAATTCAAGATCAGAATAAATGAAAGTGCTTTCTGCTTTGATCATAGTATATTTTCATTTATTTTATATAGTTTATGTGTGTTTAAAATTCACTTCTAGACGCATTTCATATTACAATTTTAATTTGTCTTCTTTTCTTTTTGTTGAAAACCTAAAAATTATCGTTGTTCACTTGGTATTTGTTGTATTGTACGTTCTGCCATGGCAATTTTGCAGTTTACTTGCATTAATTAAGCGCTAATTGGTGTTTTTTGTTTGTTTGTTTTTTTTTTGGTTGGATATTCTTAGATTGTAGAGAGCAATATTCACTTTAATTGACTTTTGAAAATTGCACCAAAGGGTATGCGTTTGCGTTTTTAACATAATTAATTTCAGCAGGAATGAATAAGTAATTAAAATTGCTTTAAATACTAATTAGCTTAAAGGGGAAAACACTTTCGAATAGTACAATATGTAGATAAATAGAATTAACAATCTCATACGTACGTATGTATATATAATAATAGGATATACATATAGTTTAAAGCACAGTGAATTTCGTTTGCTAACTGCGATACAGATACACAGCTGGAGACAAACATAACACAAACATAATACTTTCACGAGTGTGGAGGGAGAAGCTTAGAAGCATACAACACACACTTGCTCTACAGACAGATATGTGATACGCAGTAACAATAATAAAGTTGAGAATCGTTTTCCGAGTATTTAGTTTATAGTTTATAGTAGCTAACGATTCAGGCAGCTGGCTGTGCTGTGCAAGTGGCGAGGCAAGGATGGGATGAGATGGGGTAAACGTGGCCTAAACTAGGATGCTCTATATATAATACCATGTTCATGCATGCATGCATGTATGTATATGCTTTGTGTATAACTATGTATGTATGCATCCATATTTTCTGATAAATTATTGTACTCTCTTGCTAGTGCCAAATGCCATTTGGCCGCATTTTATAATTGTCCAATTGCCATTCCACTTCCAATCCCATAAACTTTTGAGTATTTCTTAATGAATTTTGACTTCTCTTCTTCCGTCTTCTGTCCAACATACGAGTATTTGGTTGAGATTATTGCATTGTATTGCTCGCGTTCACTTAGAGGGTGACGTCGTGCTCCTCATCGAGCATTTCGACAAACGCCCGCGGCACGAGTCCCTTCATGAGGCCCTGCTTGGCGTACATGTAGTCCTCGTTCACGGGCGAGCACTCGGTGACAAATATGACCTACAGATGCGCAATATTAAATGGGGGTCGACCAATGTTAGGCCTGCACTCACCTCGTTCGCGTTCAGATTAAGCTCGGTGTGATCCTTGGCATCGTATGAGCACAGGACACGTGCCCGCTGCATTTGATCCGTATTGACATGCATGGGCTGATTGGTGGGCCTGTGGCCGGATGATGCCTGACTGCTGCTGTTATTGTTGCCCGGACCACGGGTCGCCGACGGTCCGACAGTTGCGCTGGACGTGTTGGCACTGGCGTTGTTCAGATCGAGCGGTATGTATGGTGTCGGACCTCCCAAGCTGATGGAAGACGCAGAGGCAGATGCAGAGTTTAATGGTTTTGTGATTTGATTATGCTGCTCAAATGGATGGGAATGGGGCGCTACGGAAACCGGATTTGATTATGTGCATCCACAACAACAAAAACGATAAGAGCGAGCAAGGAACAACCTATCGCTTAAATTACAATACGTATAGTTTTATAAATAATGTTAACTGGAATCAGGTTGGATTCGTTTTTGATTTTTGGTTTTTTGGTCAAAAGCCGCAGAAGAATTTTCATTGAGATTAAACTGTTGATATGGCAGTCGTATCGAATTCTATGTTAAAGTCTTCCAGCAGATTCGTTAGGGACTTGTCAATTTCATTATCGCTATCTAGGGCTATTCCCACTAAGGAATCGGAATCACAGGAATGCATCGACACAGAGCTGGGAGGCCCACCATCAACATCTTCGCTATTGATGCGCAGGCGCGGCTTGGGATGCTGCATCCTGTAAGACCACAAAACAATAACCGAGAGTGAGATGACCAGAGGCGCCATAGAGCTAGCTCGCGGACGTGACCATCCTACACAGAGTGCACGAGATTTGCTGTTGGTGCCTAGTCGAGAGTCTTTGTTTGTCTGTCATCAGCATCAGCATCATCATCCTCTTTATCTTCATTGGTCACCATCTGATACTCACTTGGCCAGCTCCCGCTGCAGGTTCTCCATGACATCACCGCACTGCTTGTAGTAGCGCACCTGGGTCTGGATGAAGGCATGCAGATGGCGCAGGTGGGAGGCCTGCGATGTGCTAATCCCGTCCAGCAGCAGCTTGGTTATTTCCGACTGGCGGTCAAACTCGGCCTGGGCCACGCGCAGGTCGCGCTCTGCCTGTGAAGAAAGAACAAATTAGTGATCTGGGGCTGCATAACCGATGAGCAATAGGTATGGGCATGGTCCAAGGTCTGATACCTGTTCCAAGGCAGCCTCTGGCGAGATGCCATCTTTCTATGAACCACAATAAATCAAACCAACAATCCACACAAAGGCAGCGCAAAGCAAAGTAGGAAAAATATCGAAAGTCAATAAGCCATTATGACCGACCCCACTTCTAACTCCACCCCCCTTTCCAAGCACTTACCGACTGCTGGCCCAGCATGCTGCGCGCCTTCTTCACCCGGTTCTTGCAGGCGTCCAGATCCAAGCGCTTCGAATCAAGAATGCCGCGCTCTTTGCTAATCGTCTTCATCTCGCCCTCCAAGAATTTACGCAATGGTTGCGTAAAGCAAATGCCCGAGGTGGCAATGAAGTCGTGCTCGCACTGGCCCAGCTTCTGCTCGGCCTGCCCGACTTTGATCAGGGCCTGGCCATAGGGCAAATCCTGTCCAAAGTCCCCGCCGGCCTCAATCATGTCCAAGGCCAAGTGCTCCAAGTTACTCAATCGCTTCGGCCTCGACTTATCTATCTTCTCGAATATGTAATCTTCCACACGGTTCTGCGGATTCGGTATCAGCACCGATTCTGTGTCCTTCACGAGCTTCTCTGTCCATGTCTTGGTCACATCGGCACGCTCGGCAAGGTTTTGAAAGTGCAAGTCGTATTCGGTGCGCTCGGTGGTGCCAAGTCTCTCCTCGGTCAGCTAGGAGGAAAAGGGCAAAGAGCGTCAGTGCTGAGTGCTTGTATGGGCCCAAGCCCAACCCCCAAAAGCCCATTCATCCCCACCCGTTTTTTCTTGCACCCATCATTGATTTCTTTACCTGAACCACACGCGATATTGTGCTGCCTGCTTCCTTCACCAGGTTCTTCATATTGAAATGGGGCAGATTTATGTTCATTTTGGAGTTGTGTTGTTCTCCTTGCCAGTTACTAATTTATATTTTCTTATTGAATTGTTTGTATTTTAAGCAGCAAGCAGTGTGACCGCGGATTTGTCGATAAAATATACCCCGTCTCACACTCAGAAATATACCGTAATATGCCTTCTTATTTTCAAAATATACTTTAAATATACCAAGAAAAAAAGACCGGATTAACGGATTAATCATGAATTAATTTAAATTTGTAATTTTATTAAAAGCTACGGATATTTAATTCTAGGATGGATACTGTGGGTGGGCACCGCGTCTAATTAATCTGCTTCCAGAAGCCGCCGCAATGGCAATGCAGCCACTTATTGAACCAGGCCTTTAGCGCCGAAGTTTTGGCCACTTTGTTGGCATTGTTGACGAAGACAAAGCCACAGCGGGCGCACCGTCTGATGGTGGTGGGATGGGCGCCGAGCTGAAGATTGCTGACGCCATCTTTCACCGACTTGGCAAAGACAACATCCTCCATCTCCATGTCCTGCAGGCACGACGGCTCCACCAGGGAGGTGAACATGAGGTGACCCGACTTCACGGCAGCAAATCCCTGGGCACTGAGCAGCGTGGTGGGATTGAACTTGTTCAGCTGAGGAATGAGAAGCTGCTTGGAGAGAAGACTGCACTCGTCCAAGAGCATCTCGTCCGGCTCTGCGGGGTTCTGGGACAGGCGCGTGAGCAGGCGGAACAGAATGACCAGCACGTCAATGTTGTCCATGGTCTTGGTGTAGACGGGAAGGCATTGGGTGTTCAGCAGGCCCCAGATCCGTATCATGACGAGCAGCTCTCTCAGGCTGCTAATGGCGTTAATGTCTCGGCTGATGTCGTAGCTGGGACGCTTACCGGACAGCTTGTACTTCATCACCTCCTCAGGCAGGCGATTGAGAATGTTGAGCGCCAGATCGGTGACCCATTGGATCAGTTGCTGCAAACTCTGCAGCATCACAGGCTCCACTGTGAAATCCTTGGCATCAAGGTTCAGCATCACTGTGTCCACGTCCGGTATGGACTCGTTTAGCTTTGTCGTCAGATTATCGGCGGGTCCCTTGTCCTGGTAGCCCAGGTCGGAGGGGCGCAGAAGGCTCTTGAAGGTGGTGGATATGGCATGAAGAATGATCAGATTGTCAAACTCCTGCTGCTGCACGCGGCAGAGATTGCTCTTGAGGGCCAGAAAGTTGGCATAGTAGTAGTTCTTCACATACGATGGCTGGCGCGAAAAGTTATCCGTCAGCTTCTCCACCAGGGGCTCCAGGTTACCCAGGTTCAGGAGCAGTACGTCGCTGGCATCGCAGCCCGTGACAATGCAGTACTCCAGCAGGAGCAGTGGGGAGCCACTCTGTTTCAGCAGTGGCGCTTGCATGGCATACAGCTGGGCGTGCGTATCGAAGATCAGCAGCATTTGGCTGGTGGGGGTGAGGTCTCCGCTCACAAATTTCACTCCACTGCTGTCGGACACTTTATCGAACTGCGTGTGGTTCAGTTGCTTCAGATTATTGGGCTCCAGCACCTGGACACTGTTGTCCTGGAGTATCGCATAGACCGGCGAGCATTCCGCCGTGGCCGGCATGAGGCGTGAGAGGCAGAGATCAGCAAGCGGAGCATTCAAATGGAGCTTGGCCACCTGCTCCCAGCTTTCCGACTGCACGAATTCGTTGCCCTTATTGGAGCCGCCTCCCTGAAGCAGGGCGTGGACATTCTGGTGCCTGCGTGTAAGGGTCCATTGCTCCAGCAAGCTGCCTCCCTCTGGACAGGAGTAGGCTATGAAGATTACGTCGTCGTTGGCCACCCGCGTCCACTTCAGGTGACTGATGAGCTTGCCCTCCAGCGGATTGAGGAATATACTAGCCTGAGACTCGGACTTGATGGCCATGTGCTGCTCCAGGCCCAGGTCTCCTTCCATCATCAGGGAGATCTTGAAGCACTGCACGAGCTGCTGCTGCCAGCCACAGCTGAAGGCCACATTGACAGCTCCCGAGGGACTCGGCGCCATACTGCAGTGCTCTATGAAGCTCCTGGAGATGCCAATGCTGTGCAGGACGGGCGTCAGCTCAACAATGTCATTGCCAGCGCCCTCAGCGCTGGGAAACTTTTGCAGCAGGGGCAGGCTGAATGCTCCCAGGAGGCCAGAGGATGTCAGCAGAATACAGCCTTCGCTGGCCACCCCGCCGAAGCCGCTGAGCGTGGGCCGCTGCTCCAGACGCTCAAATTTCTCCGCATAGTATGTGTGCTCCTTCTTCTGGGGATTGAACAGGACTCCCTTGCCGTTGTGGAAGAACTTGGCCTCTATGATGTCCTCGCTTGGGATGTTGGCATGGTACTGCAGAAGCCAGCTGTTGATGGACTGATTCTTGGGCTGCCAAATCTCCACGCGTCCGCCGACATAGCCGAGCAGCAGCTGCTCCCCATTGGCACTCCACTCGAGCACATTGATCAGGGACTTTGAGGAGCACACCTTGTAGTACTCCCACGGCGTCACAATGTCGCTGACATACACATGACTGTTGCTGGCCCCCACAGCCACGCCGGCGCTACTGCTGTCGCCAGGGCCATGCGAAACGATGGCGCTTTGAAGCGAGCTGAACGCGATAATGTTGCGAGCCGACACAGAGCATAGCACCAGCTTGTGGGGAAACACGCTGTCTTTACCGAACTCCTTGCTCTCCACCTTGTAGAGAATCGTCATTTTTCAAAACAAATACTTTCGTAAACAAAACAATTCGTCAAACCCAAGAGGTGGACAGCCTAACCTGCTAGTGACGGCGTAAATATCGATAATACACTTCACTACTACACACAACTAGTCTATCGAATATCAATAGTTCAGACGATAATCAACACTGCCTTCCGTCGATAGCCGTTTGTTCAGCTTTTTTCCTTATTTACTTTTTGTATTTTTAGTAAAAATAATTAATTGGAAATGAAATAATTTAATCTGTAAAATTCAAATGAGGAAATCGACACAGCACAGCACAGCTGAATATCGGATTTAGTTTGACAGCATCCAAACAAGAGTCGCAAAGCAAACCGGCTTTGTTGTCGTTATCATTCAATCTGTTTGGAGCGTTTCCGAAAGTTTATTGAACTCCGACGCAGCGTGCATTAACTTACGGCAATAAATACACAATGATTAAGATTAAGCCTACTTAGAAACGAGAGTGTCGCGGCTGGCCTACACCAGGTTAGCGTAGCGCAAGCCCTTGACCAAACTGCCGCTGAAGCTGTCGCTGTCGATGAAGCGAATGCCATCTTCTAGACAGGACTGAACACTGCAAGGATACTCTGCACCGTACGCACTGCTGTCCCAGCGTATCTGCAATTCGTAGGACAGCTCCGGGGTGAGTACACACGCCTCATCGAGGCGCCAGCTGAGGTGCAGGTCGCAATTGTATTTTGTGATCTGGTTTTGAATGACATGACTCCACACGGGATTGGTAGGCGCTTCCTGGCCGTCGGCCGGCAGCTCACAAAGGTCCAGCCGCAAGGACTCGCGATACTCCAGGGGCAGGTGAACCTGAACGTGGCCAAAGTTGCCGGTCAGGTTGGGGGGCAGGCGACTGTTTAGGACCACTCCCATGAGAGAGATGAAGCGAGGGCTCTTGAGGCGGAGACGCCACAAGGGAGACTCTGCATCGACGGTAAACGGCCGGCAGGCCTTGTAGTAGCAGCGCTCTACTGAGACAATGGCAGCCGGAGCAGGAGATTGCACTTCATCGGAAGCATTCACATTCACTGGCCACGAGTTGGCCTCTGGCCCCAGGCCATGGACCACCAAGTCCGCATCGCTGGGACCCAGGCCCAGCTGCTCACACTCCTGCTGCGTCCACTCGTAGACATACCAGATGAGCAGCTTGTGCGGCTCCTTGCAGGCGGCTATGATCGTTTTGACGCACTCCTTGGACACATGGACATAGTGCTCCTTCAGATGGGTCATGTACTGGGCATTGTTCACGCAGCAGCGCATGAAGAAGGTCATGCAGACCTCCAGCAGACTGTCCAGGCCCATGCACACGCTCAGCTCCAGAGCCGGCAGAATGTTGGAGAAGCGCAGCTTCCTGGTGATGGCCACCAGAGAGTCGGCTATCAGCTGATCCAGCAGATACTTCTCCGCCGCGTAGTAGAGCTCAACGCAGGCCACCAGCTCCAGGCTGTTGTAGTCCACGCTGCCCGTGTAGATGTACTCGACCAGGACCTTGAAGATGGCCGCACTGATGTCGTGTATCTCGATCTCCGGCTCGTTCTCCTGCATCGGTCCGAAGAACATGGCCTCAAAAACGGGACTGGCGGCACTCAGGATCAGCTTGTGGCACTTCAACTGCTCCTCGCAGACGTGGAACACGCAGTCCGTGTACTTTTCCCTGTGCAGAAGCTCGGCATACCGACGCCCCAGCAGGCTGCCCACGCTGGCCTGCTCCTTGTGATGGGTCACGGCCAGTTCCACCGCAGAGCTGCTCATCTGAAAGAGGGAGAAAGGCCATAAATATGGATGAGATGAGATGGAGAACCGGTTGCCAATTTGCTCGTGCTCATGCCGGCCCATCAATCATTCTTTAGATAATGGAAACTATTTCGGTGCGGGCGAATAGAAAGCGAGAAACGCCGAAAAAGTCGCAGGCGAAAGAGAGAAAAAGAAAGACGTTGAATTTAATTTTGTTTGCTGGCAGTTAACCGATTAGGGAACCGAATGTGGAGTGTTCTCCATATTTTATGATAGCTTCTTTAAGAGGGCGTGTCTCATAGGGCGATCTGATTTGATAAGAAACCCCCACTTTAGAATGCCCTGCCGCTGTAATGCCAAGGGCATTCCCCAACCCAGCCGTACACCGTACCGACAAGTGCTCGTACTATTGTGACAAAGTGACGTAATTTGAATGGAATAATATAATATCAATTGAATGGCTAAAGCTGCCGTAGATTTCCTTAGTCATGGCCAAGAACGTGCCATACACACATGTATGTACATACAGACCTCTACATACATATGTACATATGCCAGACGTATTTCGTTTATCAATAAGCCAGAATAATACTACGAAGTGTCGGTCTGTCGGCCAGTTAGTTATTCACATCTAATGCCGGCTCGCATTTCGTTCTACTACATACATATGTATGTATGTGGAGGGGGCTTTCGTTTGCCTATTTATATTTGAGTGTTTTGCGCATGGGGGTAAATACATAACCGGTTTAAAGTGTTTTTCTACAGATTTTAGTTGTCGGCTTGTGGCCTAGGCTACGGTGACTTCCAGGGGGACTTCTCCAGAATACTTCTGGAAGAGCAGTTTGCTGGAATGCACGAAGGGATGTGTAGGATATTAAAATCCCTGCCAAAACTATTGCCAACTGATGGACTCTGTCCAGGGACTGTAGGGTGCATATGTAAACTGCGGGCTCGGCTCCGGAGTGTTAATCTTTGATTTTGAGCATTCCTGAATCGAACCCCAGCGATTGTTTACCTTCCCCCGGAGACAATCAATTATCTCGTGATCTCTAATATTGCTGCGCAGATTGTTTACTCTCTGTCCCTGTCCCTCTGAATCGCAATTCAAAGTTGCATAAAATTCACCTTGGAGCGGTTAAGGGTTCTCAGATTTGTGGGCGACCTTAAAACAAATTCTTTATGATTTGTATTTTAGTAATTTAAAAAAACAAAATTGGATTATTTAAGTGGATATTTTTCCAAGAAGAACACACACCTTTTGGCACTGTGACAAATTCTTTTCAAACAAAAGCGATCGCAACTGGCTATCTATATAGCATATGGTGTTCTATATAGTGTAGAAATTCAATTTTATCGAGAGGTTCACGAAAATAAAAATTAATTTCACGCGAACTTTTGGGCGAGGCTAATTGGGCGACAATTTGTTCGCCGTTTTTCTGCTCTGGCAGCCGAGGAGCGTCGCAGTCAGCTGAACTTGACCGATATCGCGGACTTTATATGCTGATCGCACACGCCAAACGCCAAACCAAAACAGACGCAACCAGCTGTTCGGCGCGGAGAACGAGGCTGATCGAAAACGTAAACGCAAACGAGAATGGAACTGAGAACTGAGAACCGTTGAGCGCAACGCGCCACCTTCAACTGATCTGATGGACAGACAGGTAGAGCTATCCAAGCGATCGTTTGCGTCCGATCGCTGGCTGCGCTCTCTCGCGAGCTCGGTCTTGCCTCTCTCCATACCTTTCAATGCTCTCAGTTCTCAGTCACTCTGCAGCCTGTTGGTGAAGAATCTTCCGTCCTGAAATGTCTAAAGGTGTTTCTTTCAAACAGTTCTGCTGCAGGTGTCGAAGGGACTTTGTTGGGCCTCGTCCTTGGCATCCCACTGTTTGCTGGGATGCTAAGGCCCACTTTTCGGATACCTGTGCTCCAGCAGAAGGGGACAATTTGCCATTACGCTGGTTGTGGTGCTGGCTGCCACGGTCATGTCAAGGATTTTGAGCACCAAAACTCCTGCGTCTGTTCCCATATCCCATTTAGAGCCACAACTCAAGGGGATGTCGCTACCAATGCTCGTCTGGTGCTATCTTTATAATGGTGTCTCTCCCGCCTTCATTGAGATTACAAATTAAGCGTCTTCCAGCGATTGCCAACCTTGAACCCTTTCAATTGCCTCTTCTTCAGTTCAGGCCGAGAGAAGCTGCCAGAGAAGGAGAAGCTGCCGGCCAGCCACACCACACCAAAGCAAAGCTATTTCTGTAAGCCCAACCATCTTGGATACTCTGCCCCTGGGAGTGTGTGGTGTGGGGTACATGGGTTCTGGCAACCGCAGAAGAGGCAAACTTATCTGATCTTTAATGGAATACAAACGCTATCTAATCGCTTATAATTGTAGCTAATTTTAAATGTTTGCTTTCTTAGAACTGAGTCGAAGACGTTTTTGGGATCGCAACCTTCATTAAATTATGGGAATTTGAATTGATTTTGTTACATCTGGCACATGTGCATCGCTGATATTTTTCTATAGAGTATCCTGGCTTCGGTGTTGGGCTAAGATTAGTTCTTCCGCCGCTTCATCTTGGGCAGCTGCTTTGGCTCAGACCTTAGCTGTGCCTTTAACTTTGGCATGTGGCTGGCGGAAACAGGTAATGTGGCCTCTCGATGGAGGCTGGGCCCTCACGCACATTCACACGAAAAAAAACACACACACAATCCCAGGGAGACCTGGCACACACACACATGTTCTCGCACGTGTAAGTTCTTTTATGGTTTGCCAAGCCTCCTCATGCTGCTCCCTTCTCTTTCTCAAACTTCTTTTGCAGCCCCCTGGTATGCACCTCTCGCCCGGACATCTCAAAGTCGTGCTCATTCTCGCCCTGCTGCAGGACCTGCAGATAAGACCACAGAAGGATATATTCAGGGCACATCTCGAACGGGATCTGCGGCTGTGTCCGGCCTGCTTTGCCGGACAGCGTTGGCAGTGCGAGGAAATCTTCGAGGACATCGCGGAGCCCTCGGACTGGAGCAAGCTGCTCAAGAGCATCAGTCTGCTGTTCGATCGTCGTGAGATTTACTTTCTGCAATTGAATGGGGGGGCCCAGCTGGTGGCCAAAAGAAAGGCCATTGAGCAGCAACCTTACCGCAATGTGGACTCCCTGCGAAGAGAATTTCTTGAGATGGAGGAACGTCCCGGTGGGTTCCAGCTTTGCCGGAGCGGGTCCCGGACCCCTCGGTTCGTGAGTTACTTCGAACAGCGCGGCCATGAGGCTGCCACCATCTGGTACTATATGATGCACAGCGTCACCCCATTGCTGATGCAGGAACTGTTTCTGCTGGAGTTTCCAGTGCCTCGGAGCTACGGGGCCTGTGGCCTGACCCATTTTCAAGCCTATGCCGGACGCACGCTTGTGCACTACGCCGCTGCTGTCGAGAATCTGCGCCTGGAAATGGCCAGACAACTGCTTCAGCTGTCCCTAAAGCTCACCTTTGGCTTTGCGGACTTTCGCATCTTCCTAACGGACCTCACGGCAGACAATCTGGCCTTTGACGAGCCCAGCCAGAGAGTGATCCTTATCGACCTGGACTCTGTGGTCCTAGTGGACGCGTCAGCACCATTGGGCAACGCCCAGAAGTACGAGCCCCTGCCTGGCGATGGTTTCACGTTCGATGTGAAGGAATTTTGCGGTGGCCAGCAGCTAGACGCGAATGTGTATCAGGCTTGTCGGCTGCTAAAAGACTTCCTTCTCCAGGATCTGGCCAACGATAGGCTGGAGATGCTGCTAGGCCAATGCGTGCGATGCGACAACGAGACATGTGATATGCGCTTCCAGCAGGCGTACGACTTGATCAAGCTTCTGGGGGAGCTGCTGGACAGGTAGCATCTCGGACGAAGGACACGATGAGGTTGGGCTAAGGTAACATATGGAGGATACTTTAATTTAAGTAGGTAACCATGTTTAATCATACAACTCATCCATTACACGCAATATACGATCTAACTGAACTTCGCCCGAACATCTTTGAAGGAGTTTGGAGGGGCAGCAGCGTTGGCTGCTGTCGTTAACTTAGGTTAAGGTTTTGTTTTAGGTTTAGGAAGGGGGTCGTAGACATAGACGTAGGCATAGCTGTCGTGTCTGCTGGCTATCGTATGGCTGGCCGGGCCCCGGTCCGAGCTTAAATAATATCACGGGGAAAACTCAGGAAATGTATGGAATTGGATACGTGGTGTGTGATGTCTGTGAGGGTCTCCTTGTGGACGCCTCCGAACAGAATCAGCTCGCCATTGCCGGCAATGAGGCTAGACAGGATGAGGCGATCGGGGGCTCCCCGGAGCACGCCGAAGTTCTTGTACTCCACCCAGTCGAGTGCGGGTTCGCTGCTGCTGAGTATGCCTGAGATGTCGCAAACGAAAAGAGATTGCACGTTGCAGCGCAGTCGCTTGGGTGAGGGGGCGCGCAACGGCTGGGGCTCCACCTGTGCGGCTGCGGGTGCACTTCGCCGTGAGTTCCGTATGGCATTCATCTTCTCCTCCATGCGTCGGATGCGTTCATTGTGGTCTCGCGAAGCGCTGCGCGACCGTGTGGGCACATTGAAGGCGGCCATACGGAAGGGATCCTGTGGGTGAAATTATAAATTATGCTTGGGATGCTGCATATAGTGTCGCTTGCGTCCACATACCTCGTACATCTCATCAAAGCGCTTGGGCAATCGCGGCTCGTTGTCCCGACACCGCAAGGCTAGATTTCGCTGAAGACGCTGGGCTGCATCCACATCCCCATCGGCAGCGGACAGCGAAGGGGGACGCACTGGTGGTGAAGGAGGGGAAGGAGCTGCGGCGGCAGCCGGAGCTGGAGGCGCATGCAAATCGCTCAAATGTCCGGATCGTGGCTGATAATTGTTATTGTTGTTGTTGACATTGTTGTTATGCATGAACTGCTGCGCCTGCTGCATGTTCTGGTTGAGAATGGCCCGTCGATTGGCCAAATACTGTTCCTGCGGAGCCAGGGCCCCACCCGCTCCTCCTCCAGCCCCGAGACGATTCGCGCGATTTTGGCCCAAGCCACCTCCCAGGCCTCCAGCTTGTCGGCGCTCCGGCATCAGGATACGTTGGCCGCGCTGCGGCATGTTCTGGTGAGGATTGGGTGGCGGCGGGCCACGCCCCCCGACCACGGGCACCCGACTCTGCTTCATCATTTGAAAGTCCTGCGGCATGTTGGGCGAGGGGCCCACCACCACGAGGTAGTTGTTGACCTTGCAGCCGGGATTGCACCACATGTGGACGGCCCCGAAGCGCTTGTTGCGCACGGTCAGCGTTTTCCACGACCACACATCTCTGGTCATGTCCAGCAGCCAGGCGTCCGTGTAGACCCGATTGGCTCCGCCACAGCCTCCCACAACCAGAAGGTGATTCTTGTCCAACTCGATCTGGATTTGCCCATATCTCGCACTAGGCCGCGTGTTGCCCACGAACAGCGGCTGCCACCAGCGCTGCTCGGGCAGGTCCAGCACCCAAGTGTCGTTGGAGTTGATGTTGACATCGTCCGTGATCTGATAGCCACCGAAGACAACCATGCGATCGCCATGCACCGTGGCCGAGTGGCCGGCCATGGGCGGCGGACAGGGCATAGTGTTTCGCAAAAGCCAGCGATTCTTTCCGAGATCGTAGTAGTGCAACTCATCGAACAGGCACCACGGCTGATACGGCGGGTGAAGCGAGGGATAACGCCAGCCGCCAAACAGCACGAGCTGATCCTTCCAGGCCACCATGGAGGCGCTGCCCTTGGGCGAAGGATAGGTGCCCGTGGCCACAGGCCTTGCCCAGCGCATGTGAGTCAGATCGAAGCGCCAGAGATCGTTGAAGGTGGTGTCCGAGGTGGATCCGCCGCCGAATACATACATCGAGTTGCGCTGACGCACCGCCGAGTGGGCAAACCGTCCAGCGATAAAGGCCACGGGTGAGCTACTCGCGGCGGCGGCCGTTTGTGGCGAGAAGACCTCCCAGCGCAGCCGAAAGTCGGTCAGGCCTTTCTCGAGGTTGAACTTCGAGCGGCGCACGAGATCTGCGGAGCAATTGAGAGGTGGGGAGAAGCTAGAGAATGTCTTCATCGATCGCAGGCATTTTCATACTCACTCTTCACAATGGCATGCCAGCGCTTGCACACGATGCTGCAGTGCTCCAGATCCCCATAGGGTGGTAGGTAGGTGAAGATGAACTCGAGAATCTCGTCAGGCAGCACATTCAGACTGGCGTAGCACAGGGGCGAGGGTGAGGTCGTCATGTCACAATTGTGATTCTCGCTGTCGACCTTGTGATTGCACGTGTCCATCGTAGGTCCCCGTCCTTGATGTCCTTCTTCGTACTGTGTCCTTCACCTTCAGATGCTGCGCCACTACAACAGCAAATGGGGATGGGGAGCAGGCACAAGTATGTGGAGTCACTAGGTGGTCACAGCCAGGCTCGACTTTCAGCCTGAATTTGGCTCTCGAATTTTGGCGTTTTGCGTTTTACTTCGGTAAAATTTTTAAATTTTTATAAAATGATTTATAAACAGTAGAGATTAGTGTGACCGTGGATTTATCGACAAAATATACCGCAGAATTATACCTAATTTTCTAAATATACCGAGGAAAACAAAGAACTCAACCTCTGTTAAAACAGAGACTCAGGCAGGCTCCGGTTTTCACATTCACTTTGCATTTTACTTTTCAGAAAAATGTCATACTTTTAATTTCAAGGCGTATACGCTTTGTACTGTTATTCGCCAAATGAACTCCTGTTATACCCTCGCGTTAGTGGCAGCTCCTTCAAAATTGCCTCTGTTATGTTTAACAGAGATTTATCGATAGCCAAATCGGGCTGCCACAGCTCCCAGAGGATAGATAGTCCACAAACCGCTGGGAAATTTTGGGAACTGGAAAACAATAAGGAGCATCCCCGAAATGGATTGTCGCCTGTGGGAATAGGCTATTAAATTCAATTATTTTAAGGAATTAATCTAAACTTGCTTATCTTCACACCAAATTAAATTAACATCATAAATCTATTAACATCAACTTCGAGCTGTTTCTACGCTTCGTTGTTAATGGCAAACTGTCCCGAATTGCACGTGCTGCTTTGTTTACCTTTTATTTACGGCCAAAATGAGTGCAACAAATGACAGAAAGGTGGTCATAAATAAGCGCCAAAAGGGTTTGTCGCGAGAGGCATTAGGAAAACTCACTCAAACGGAGCTGATTGATAAAATAGTCCAACTGGAGGCGTACAACTTTCAGCTGAGAAATCTTCTGCAGAAGAAGCTAACAGAGCATGATAGAAGCAACGCGGAATATGCAGAATTATTGGGTACAGGGACGGAGGCCGCCGTGCCTAAGGAGGCGACACAGTCAGGCAAGGTGCAGAAGCAACGTAAGTTCGATTGGAGTAGGTATGTGGACACCCATGAAGGATTCAAATCGAGATTTATTTACAACTCCCTTTTCAGCGCTCACAGACGTCATGTTTTGCTGAAAGTAACCTACTTTGGCTGGGACTACCAGGGTTTTGCCTGCCAGGAGGATTCCAACGATACCATTGGTGGGTTCCACTTAATTTTTTTTTACCAATGGACGTTATTTTGTCCTCTTTGAAAACAGAGTCCCATTTGTTTCGTGCCTTGACTCGTACTTGTCTCATCGAATCACGTGCCACATCCAACTACCATCGCTGTGGCCGCACGGACAAGGAAGTTAGCGCCTTCTGCCAGGTGATTTCTATAGATTTGCGCAGCAAACATACGCCTGAGACTCAGCAGGAACCTACTGCCCTGTCATCTGAAATCGACTACTGTGGCCTTCTTAACCGGGTGCTGCCCAAGAACATTCAATGTGTGGCCTGGATGCCGCTGCGGAGCCCCGTATACAGTGCCCGTTTTGATTGCACCTCGCGTAGCTATCGGTACTACTTCCCCAAGGGTGACCTGGACATTGAAGCTATGCAGGAGTCCTGTAAGCTGCTGGTCGGACATTCTGATTTTAGGAACTTTTGCAAAATGGATGTGCACAATGGTGTGACGAAATTTATAAGGAATTTACAGGCAGCGCGTGTGGCACCCTGCGAGGAGAGGTTAAACAATTCGGGTAAATATATGAGGTTGCTATTCCATTCGCAAGGACTTCATTGTTTTCGTCTATCAATAGGTTATGATATGTATTATCTGGAGATCCAAGCAAATGCCTTCCTCTGGCATCAGATAAGATGCATCATGGCCGTGCTGCTGCTGGTGGGACAGCGAAGAGAGCAGCCTCGCATTGTGAGCGATCTTCTCGATGTGGAAACTAATCCCTGCAAACCACAGTACACGCCCGCTCTTGGCTTGCCCTTAAATCTGTTCCATTGTGATTTTCGAGACAGGACGACGAGGAACATTAACCATCCAGCGGATGGTGACGAAGATGACGAGGCCATGGACACGTCTACAATGGAAGTCGAAATTACCGAAAGTTCTGCGGAAGATAAAGATGTTACAAATTGGATTTACAACGAGGAGAACTTGCAGAAGCTTATCGAGAACGTCCAATGCGAGTGGACGCAGTTCAGTGTGAAGAGCACCATGATACGAAATGTTCTCCAGCAATTGGAGCAGCTCTTGGAAAAGAACTACCACACTAAGGAAAGTGTGACAGCGCAGGTCCTTCTGCTACAGGACTCGGTCAAACCGCGTCTGTATCTTCCTCTTCTAGAGCGAAAACGTTGTGGTGAGTGTAGTGACCTCCACAGTGTATTTTTCAATTGAACCAATTGAGTTCCTTTACAGAGAGCCTGGAGAATCGCATTGAGCACTTTGTGAAAAAGCAAAGGCTGATAGTCAAGGATGAAAGCTGAACAATAAGACCTTACTAAGTAACATTTCCGCCTGTTTCTGTGTATATTAATTGTTTTAGAACATTAGAACTAAGTATTCGAATTAAAACACATAATGTATGCAGAGCATAGAGATTTGAGGATTTGGATCAATAGTTGGGGGACTCCAACTAATTCTACAGGATGTGGTATATGGGAAGCTCCAATAATTGTCGGCTTATAGAGTAAATATATTTATATTCATGAACTTGTACAACGTTTCGAAGCTTAGCATAGTCTTGGTAAGTAATAATTTTAGATTGTAACTCCATACAATTGCCTACATGCTACGTTTATGGGATTCTAGTACCTACAAAATAAGAGTCATCTATATGGATAGTTCTTTGTACGATAACAAAAAAAGAAGGCTTCACTTAATTGCTGAAATTTACATTTAACTTGGTTAAACAAAGCAGGTTGTCCACAATCAGGTATTCCAGGTATGGGATTCCACGGATTAGCTAACAACTAGTGATTCGAAGGGCAGGGTGCATGCCCTACGTGCCCATCGATTTAGCTTTCTGCAGCCTGAAAAGGAAGACGTTTATTCAGTAAGCTAATATTCCATAGATTATAGATTCCTGCTTACTTTCTTCTCAAGATCTTCAGCCCAATGGTGCCCTCTCGCACATTCTTGAATAGCCCTATGGTTTCGGCGTGACTCATGCCCTGCACAGAGTTGCCATTGATCTCCACGATCTCATCGCCTGCGGGAGGGAGATGCAGGTATTTAGATATTAAAAGTTCCGCTTGGTCGGATCCTGCAAACTTACCCGCTTGCAAGGTGCCATCGTCCGCAGCCTGACCCGATGGAAAAACTGTCTTCACAAAGATGCCCATGTTCCCCTTGGGCGAGTCGCGTCCTCCCACAATGCTAAAGCCCAGGGACTTCAGCCCTGGACCCTTGAAGAATGTAATGATCTTGGGTGTACAGCGACCACTGCCTAGAAGATGGAATGGCATGGTTCTTCGATTAGTACAAGTTCTCCACTTTTCATGGGGGGGACTAGGGTTATTTGAGGTTAACGATTCATACCCTCGCTCATGGAGGCTCGGATGACCTCGGCCATTTCCTCGTCGCGAATGGTTAGCTTGGCCACCGGCAGCGATGGACGATGATGCATTAGTGCGGCGGCAGGCGGTGCCAGAGATGAGCCGGAATTGACTACTGCTCCCAATCCTGCCGCTGATACCGAGGCTGGTGAGGATGAGGCATTAACATATGGATTAGGCGAGAATAGTGAGACGCTCTTTGGCGTGTGCTTGATGTATAGTGATTGGTGTTGTTGCGGCTGCGGCTGCGGCTGCTGCTGCTGCTGCGTCTGGGTATTAGTGAGATCAGTTGTTGTTGTTGTTGTTGGGGGGCTTGAGGGGACTCCCACTCCCTCGGTTAGATTGTTAGGCGGCGTCTGCATGAACAGGCTCAGCCGCGAGGAGCTGAGCCGCGAGTGAGCGAACCGCAGCGAGCGGTAATGCGAGTTGGCCAAGTTAATGGAGTTGCGGGCGTAATGGGTGCGCTGGCCAAACTGCTGGGGGGCACCGGGAGACCCGGGTGGTGGCAGAGCGGCGCCCTCCGAGCACCTCTTGCGGGCCAGCAGCTGCCACTTCTCGTCGTCCGCCAGCGAGGAGGCCACGCACACGCTCGCCGCTCGATTCGCGTAGACGGGCGTGTAGGACACGTTCTCGTCGGGATTATCGCTCGCCCGGTGGTTAGGGGAGGAGGAGCAGCTGCTGCTGCTGCCGTGTCCGTGGCTGTTAAAGAGCGGTGTCGGTGTTAGAACCAAGCTAGAGCGCTGACCTGAGGAGCTGCGTGCCCGGCGTCGCAGCAGCTCGTGCTCGGATGCACTCACGTCCAGCGAGTGGCGGGGCGTGGAGCTGCGGCGGTGCTGCATCAGGGGCATCGGCGTGGGCAGTGTGCTCACACTGGCCATCGATCGGGCGTCGCACTGGTCCTCGCCACCTTGCCGCTCTCCGTCCTCCCGCCTGCTGCCCTCCTGCTGCAGCTGGAGGCTTTGCATGCTGGTCAGGCTGTCCGTGCTCTGGGTGCGCTGCACATAGCTCAGCCGGTGGCGTTGTGTGCTCATCCCATCGATGCGGATTTTGGTATAGAAGTCGGTGACCGTGGTGATCTCGTCGTGCGCTATCACCAGGTCGATGCAGTTGTCCACGAAGATGCTCAGCAGGCGCTGCACCTCGGCAAAGGACTGGATGCCCCGCAAATGCTTTCCATTCACATTCACAATCTCATCGCCCAGCCGAAGGCGACCATCCCTACGAATTGCAGGGTAGAGAATATGGATTAGAGAATGATTAGAGATGGGATTCGGCATCCGATGAATACTCACTTCTGGGCCATGCCGTAGGGCTCTAGTTCCACGATGAGATACCGATACTGCTGCTCGTTGCTGCTGGTCATCACCGTCTTGGGCGAGAGGACGATTCCGATGTAGTCCTCCTGGCACTTGCGCTCCAGCTTCAGCTGCCGGAAGCGGCGGCGTATCGTCTCCGTCTCGTAGTCGTAGTTGTAGCCGCCCAGCGAAACGGGAGCACTGCAGATGCTGCTGTTCCGCAGACCTGATCCCAATCCCGATCCCGATCCAGATCCCATGCCCACGCCCTCCGAGGAGCTGAGCGAGATTAACGAGTTGCGCTTGAGGGTGCCGGAGGCAATAGATTCCGTATCTCCGCCGGAGATGCTCAGATTATTGCCCGGCCGGACGCCGCCGCCCACACCCCCGTCGCTGTCGTAGCCGGACTCGTTCGAACTCAGACAACTACTTAATCTTTGGTAAAGTGGTTCCCAGTCCTTGGACGTGATGCTGTCGTTCCGCGACACATCTGCTCTGCTCATCTGCTGCTCGGGGGAGCTTCTGTGGGGCAGCGGCGACCTGCTGAGGATGGTGACTATCTCCTGGTGCAGCTGCTCGCGCCGCTCCATCTGCTGCTGCTGGTGCTTCAGGTGCCCCGCACCCGAGCCGTGGTTCTCTTCCGGCAGAACCGAGAGACGGGAGCGCAGAAAGGCGTAGGGAAAGGCCCCGCGACGCGAGGCATCCTGCTGGCCCCCGGATCCGCCGGCTGATGCTGCGGACCCAGCCCCTGTGCCTACCGCTGCACTTCCTCCACTGGGAGGAGAGCCCAGGCTGACGGCGGCACTGCCGCTGCTGCTGCTGGCCGTCAGGCAGCTGCTCACCTTGGCGATGTCGTCGCAGCTGCTGGACTTGAGGCTGGCGATGCGGGGAAGTCTCTGCTCACGCTGCTCCCTCTGCTCCCGCTGCAAATTTAGGCCCTCGGTGGGATCGTCGCACTTGATGTAGGAGGAGCTGGACAACTGGCTGGTGGAGCTGCTCCTGTATAGCGTCGTCGCTGCCGGGACGGCCTGCTGTGCCGCCTCCGAGGCCTTCAGAAGGTTGTGCGAGCGATGATTCAGCATGCCCGTCGACCCGATCCGATGGAAGAAGTTCTTCAGGGCCTTCTGTGGGCGTGCCGCCGCCTGGTAATGCGCCTGGTGCGTGGGCGTGGAGTGGGCGCTCTGGGTGCCATCCTGCGGAGACTGATTCTGCTGATGCTGCTGCTGTTGCTGGAGCTGATTCTGATTCTGGTGCTGACGCTGCTTGATGGTCTCAATGGGTCCCGATTTGCATTTCTTCAAAGTGCTGCTCTGATAGCCGCCAGTGGGTGACGGGGATGCCTTGGCCGAGCTGCAGCTGGAGCCCGGGCCGGCGGAGCTGCTCTTGTGGTGCGTTGGCGAGTGGAAGAGGCTGCGCAGATCGGTGTGCGACTTGTGCGACGCGGGGGAATCGCTCCGCTTCAGCAGATCCAGTTTGCGACTCATGCGCTTGCCCCAGGTGAACACTGCAACGAGAAACGGAGAGCGATGAGGATGAGGAAGTGCATTCAGAAAGCGATTTCTAACTTAATTATAACACTTCAATAAATCTCGACGCCTCGCCACAAGCCGTGACAGTGGACAGTGGACACTGGACACTGCAGGCAGTGACAGGCCCGTGTCACAAGATGAGAAATGTCCAGGCACCAGTTTGTGGCCCTTCGAAGACATGGACCAATGACAATCTCCCTCTGTGCCTCGCTTTGTGGTCGGACAGCGTGCCACGTGCCACGTGCCTGGTGTTGGTGTCCGATTACATGGATGCCGTTGTGGTTGCACTCAGAGGTCGGCTTCAAAGATCTCTCGACCTCCACTGACGTTGAAGCCTTTTGACGCGTGACGGCGGGAGGACACAATGGGCCAGCCGGGAGAAACGAGTCTTTCCCTGCGATTCCCCAGCATTCACCTAATGAAACCTTAAACACATTCTGCACTATGAGGCACCCAACCGTGATGCTGCGAGTGTATGTGTAGGTGCTATCCAGATTCCATTAGAATTAGAGCCCATCGCCTGGCAATCGCACCCATCGTACGTGGTTTGTAGCTCTGTGCAGTTATTAAGCTCTAAACACACCTCAATTACTAATAGAGCATAACCAATCACGAAATGGACTCGTATTGCCCATTGCCCAATGGATATCTAATAGGGTCGTAAAATACTTTAACGATTCAGCTTTAACAGCATTTGGCCACACTTAAAACAGGGAATCCACATCTACATCCACATTTACATCCACATCTACATCCACCCGATGTCCGTTGCTCGCTCTTCGCTCTTCGAACTTCTAAACACCTCTCCAAATCTCGTTAATAAATAAATTTATGCGCTTGTTCCATATTTATCGCCTGGCGCAAGACAGAGATGGCCAGATGGCCAGATTCCAGCGGGATGCAGCATTTACCAACAATTAGCATAAAACATGCTCACGCACGGCGCACAGTGCAGAGAAAGAGAGAAAAGTAGAGGGGGAGAGAGAGAGAGAGAGATCGAAAAGATCCACTGATCGGATGATCGGGGAGGCACAGGAACAGGCACAGGCACAGGCATCGTATTTCCATTGACTTCAAATCGCATTATGCGGCACTACCAATAAAATTTCCAAAACTATTTTCATCAGCGACATTAAGTGACTGGAGCGGGGGTGAGCAGTGATGCGTAACGGTGACTCAGGTCCCTGAATATCACTCCTGTGAAGCGAAGAATCACGACTTTTTCGCTGCGAATCACTGCACCCAATAAACGGTGATCTCTGGCCACATCTCTGGTGGACTCAAACTCCTTCGGCTGACTCGTGCCAAAGTTGTTTAATAGCCGCAGCCCAGCCGCAGGCCTTGGGTCCAGGTTCGGGCCATGTGTGGGCGTTGGAGGACCGGATGATGATGAGGCTGCTATGGTGGCTATGGAGGCTGTGGCGGCGTCGGCGGCGGACCCAATGCAGGTTGACAGCCGCTCCAAACTCCACCCAAGGCCTGACCGAGTTCGCCTTTGATTAAAGTTTTCACCATTGCAATCACACAGCCCGAAGATCGGGAGTTGGAGGAGGAGGAGCAGCAGCAGCAGCAGCAGAGTGTTAAACAATAATAGGAAACGGCGCGCGGGCATCAATTATATGACAACCTCAGCCACACTCCAAGACCTAGCCTCACCAGCCCACTCCTCCTCCTCCTCCTCCTTCTCCTTCATCTCTGTCTATGTCTGTGGCAGTCACCGCCGGCCACATGCCACAAATTCTACACCCACTTAACTTTCAAGACGGTGTCAAATGCCCGCCAGCCCCTAGAGCCAGCTCCAGACCGTTTCCTCTTCCTCTGCTCCATTCCATTCATGCCTCCTCCTCCTCCTCATCCGACCCATCCATGTCGGAGATGGCTTTGTTGCAATTTTGCCGGCTGACATGCAAGCGATGCTGAGGCACAACCATTCGAGAGGAGGAGGTGGAGCGCAGACACTGCAGCTTAGAACTGCATCTGAAGTGGTGAGCGCGGGAGGTAGGGGGAGAGAGAGTGGAGCTTTTTGCTAGGGTTGCCAGACTGACTGCTGAACGGCGACTTCTCGAGAGGAGAGATCAAAGGAAACCCACCAAAGAATGCCCCAATCCCAATTGCTATTCATCAGAAGTTCGGTAAAAGCCGAGCCATGGGAAAGATACAGACTGAAAATACACACAATAAATGTAGGTACGAGTGGTATGAGTATATGAGTATATGCAAAGGCAGAGATCATACCGAACCAACATCAGAATCGAAGTCAGGCAACATAATATCTCACGTACGAATGTCGATTGCTTGAGAAATTCCAGAGCTCCTTCCCATCTTCCAGAGCAGAAGTTGCAGCCCATAACGGAATGGAAACCGAATGGAAACCGAATGAAATAGGAGGGAGGCAATGAGAGATCGATAATCGGTTTGGCAACAGAAATCAAGTCAAGAAGAACATGTAATAAGCGATAATCCACAATAAATGCGCATGCGTGCAGCGCCAGCAAAGAGGAGGATCGGCGGATCAGGGGATCGATCGGTAGGAGTTGCAGAAACGGCCACAAAAAAGCGATACTCAATCCTCAGTCCTCAACTGGACCGAAAATTATAGCATTTATGTTGTGGATCGTGGATCGAGTGTGCGCGCCCGCCGACAGCTGGCCGAGAAAGAGACGGAGATGGGGTGGGGGAGGCGCGATTATTGATTTCTCATCCTTTTGTTCTTGCGTATTTCAATGATGAAAGCAATTTGCAGTTACGCAGATGTATCTATACAATGTATCGGTATCTATATGACTTTATAATATTCGAATTGACCTTGGGGCGGACACACACTTGGCGAAACCCTAATTAAAACCAATTAAGTGCGGCATTAAGCTCAATGAACCTCCCCATAGAATGTGGCTTGAACATGCAATGGAAATGGAAATGGCAATGGCCATGGCAATCGCGATAGCTGTGGCTGTGGCTGTAACCGTGGCTGTGGCCGTGCCTGTGGAATGACGCTTACAGATGGATGACTGCAAGATGAATCTTTATCTTTCAACAGCTGCACCTGATAAAACTTGGCATAACTTGTGTACCCGTACCCCCCTCCCCACCTCCTGCGCACAACTTCGTGCGGCAGCTGTTTAACCGCTTTGTCGGCAAACGTCTGAGAGGGAGAGAGAGAATGCAATCATCAAACGGTTTTGTGGTCTGTGGAGAGAACGGAGACCAGAGATCGCAGAGATCTGGCACTGGGGAGCAGCTGGTGACGGGCATTATTTGAATTGTTGTTTGCCAGAACTCTCGGATCATTAGTGGTCGGTCGGTCGGTCGGTCGGTCGCCAGAACAGTCGTGAAAAAGTGAAAATCGGCAAAATGTTGATGCGGCAAAAGTTGCTTGCTTTCCACAATGCAAATCGAGATGATGTTTCTTTTCACATAATTTCCGCACCTTTCAACAAACTGCTTCCTGTTCCTATTTTGTGTACCGTTGCCTAACGAGCCCCCCACCATTATGTCGCTCCCAAAACTCCACCCATCCATGGATGTATGTATGTAATGTAATCTACACACAACCCTCAAGCACATAATAGGGCAGCACTATTTATGCGAATCAATGGGAATGCTGCACCCCGCGACCCAACCCCCCCGAGACTCGAACGGAACTGCAGCCAAATGGCGCATAATGCCCGGCTTTGTCACACTTGGTCGCTTGGCTTTTGGGGGGCGGGTGGTGGCTGTGGGCTGTAGGCTCCACTTTCCCATGCGAAGCCACAGCTTGTGCCGGGGCTGGGTCTGTCTCTCATCTGCCGCCGCTGCCTTCACTCTGCAAACAATACAAATTCCAGTTGCAGACATCATCGGATCGCATTACAGGACGACATCGAGCAACGACAACGGCAGAGGCGCTCATTGATGCGAAATCGGGTCAATACGGTATTTCGGAGGGAGTCGTTCCCCCATACGACGCGCCGTATCGATGACAATTGCAAACTGATTTGCGCTGATTTACCCTCCCTCTAAACACGGAAGCCACCGCATCCACTGCGGCATGGGGAGTGGGGGGGGAGTGGAGGAGCTGTAGAGCTAAAGAGCTGATGGAAAATTAATTGTTTCAATTAAAATATGCTTTAAAATTAGCTCCAAATTCTACGTTGACAACACACTCCACTCCACTCCACTCCGCACTCTCTTTTAGAGGGTGGCATAATTTATGGGGAAGCTTGCCCGTAAATAGCCACCGACAGCGGCAGCAGATGAAATCCCATTTTGATGGCACTCGAGGCGCCGCCAGGGCAGCACTTGATGGGAATATCAATTCCAAGGGATTTGGGGAACTCTATTTTTGGCAGTACTTACCGTTCCGAGTGGTGTTGGCGAGGGAGCCGGTCGTGGAGCTGCTGCTGCTGCTGACGTCATTGCTGCTGCTGTTTTTATTGCGGCTCATTTCGGGTACTGGAATAGATCCGGGCTTCTGCTCATCGTCCAGGACAACAACAGGCACGGCTGTGACCAGTTTGTAGTCGGGCAGGTGACCTACAGAGGAATAAGGAAGCGCATACGCAATGGGTTCATTAGCCTCTGCTGATGGTTCAGTGCCTAAGAATCACATAGATAATGCTGGACAAGTGATAGCTGGCGATAAGAATAGGAGGCACCCCTCAAGGGTCCCAATCTCAGCGAATAAACAGTTTGATTGCAATTTTCCACCAAAATGGTTGGACATCTCCCACTCGAAGTGTTGCTGGGATTTCTACTTGTCTTGGGTCTCGCCGAAGCGATCGTCAATGGGGATCTGTACGGAACTCTGCCCGGCCTGGTGCTCCGCCATCTGAATGGCAGCCACTCGGACTTCGAGGGATGGACCACGCGGATGAGCCAGGCCCTGCTGCCCGAGCAGCAGCAGCGTGTGGCTTGGAATGTGCCTTGGATGGATGCTCTGGCGGAGGGGAGAAGTCCCTTGGAGTTGCAGGAGCAGCTGGAGCCCAGCAATCCCCTCAAGCTGCAGCTCTGGATGGGACTCTACTGGCACCTGCGACGCTCTAAGCGCCTGGACGTCAGGCTGACCTCTGACTTTGCCCTGACTCTACGGCGACTCCAAATGCAGCAGCCGGCACTATGGAACCCCCAACTGCAGAACATGTGGCAGAGCCTACCCCGCTCCCTGCGGCTCATCCTCCAGAGCCGCTGGCTGTGCCTGCAACACGGGCGGGAGATGCTCTATGCCTTGGGCGGACTCCGCCTGGAACTGGGGGCGAACAGCAACTGCAGCATGTGGCAAGTGCAGGAGCTGCCACTGGAGAGGGGACACTGGCGGCGTCTGGTCAATGTGTGCGACAAGAATAGCCGATGGTTCATCAGCATGTTGCACGACGACACGCCGCACGCGCTGCACAGTGCGCCCAGCAACATGGCCAGACAGTTCTGTGTCCTGAACGGATTGAGCTACCTTGGGGATGCCTCTGCGGACTCCGACTGCCACTGGGCGCTGAACGATTGCAGCCACTTGCCACAAATATTGTCGAGTCGCAATAAAAGTTAGTGGAAGGTGTTTTTGGGGGAGTGTTTGGTCTGGTCTCTACTCTCTACTCACCATTCGGCGTCAGGGATCTGCTGTGGCTGCCTGCGGATCCTGCTCCTCCTCCTACCGCCCCCTTCTCGTACAGGCAGCTGCTGGAGGCCGCGTGCAGTCGCTGTGCCACATATTGCTGGTACTGGGCGGCATGATGTTGCTGCTGCTGTTGCTGCTGCTGGATGGAGGCAATGCTGTTGCTGCTGTCGTATCTGAGGAGGAGTGTGGCCGACGAGTTACCCAACTTTTGGGGCATGGGCACATAGATTGTGGGCTGCTGCTGCTGTTGCTGCTGATGCTGTTGACGGTGCAAGGTGTTGGCCTCTTGTAGCGACATCACCGATATGCCCGATGGGGTCTGGCGTCCACTTAATAGACATGTGGGCGTGGCCGTGCGTAACGGCTGCTGCTGCTGCTGCTGTTGCAGATTGCCGCCAGATGTGGCCGATGTTGCAGTGGCCGTTGCGGTGGCCACCGCCCCATTGCTGGCCAGCGTGGTGCAGCTGAGGATCATCACGGGCGACTTGTCGTGCAGATCAGGCAGAGATGAGGATATCGCGGTGCTGCTCACAATGCTCTTGTTCAATCGGTTGTTGCATGTTGCACGTGTGTTGCTGTTGCTTGGATAAATGTTGCTGCTGCTGCTGCTGCTGTCTCCGGTTGAAGAGGCCGCTGCTGTTGCTGCTGCTGCTGCTGCTGTAATGTGCTGTAGGTGTCCGTGGATTTGCGCGTTTTGAAGAGACGCATGCTACGTGGTTGCTGCAATTGTAGGAGTGCACACAAAATTGTGGGTTAGTTTTGGGGCAAGCAAAACGTAAGCTCAAATTTGGGCAAACCCAAAACCCAAATCCACCAACCTAAATCTATCTGCAATCCCCACACTCGGCATTCCCTTGCTTTTTCCGTTCAACGGAGCGTATAATTAACAAAAATTGCAAATCCGGTGGCGCCTCGAAAGTAAGACAAAATGTTGCTGCTTGGAGCAGCTCCAACAAATGGTTAGCCATCGATTTCCTACTTTCTGGGGCATGATTATACATTCCGTTGCGGAAGTACACGTATATTGGAATCTACGAGTATTTGTTTGCTCAGTTTGCGTCTGCTGCAACCTCTCCAGGATCTACACTGGGCTATATTTATATCACTGGCCACAGCTCAACGGCTCTGCGCATATTTATAGTTCTCTATAAATATGTACTCGTAGCGACAGGCAGCGACAAGTGGCTTATCAATCTTATCAGCCGACACAGACAACACTTCCCCCATACGCATATGCTAATGAGGTTCGTTGGCTGGCTTATCGGTTCAATAAACGCCTCAAAGGTGATTACCAGCAATAAACCACAAAAAACAATCCACAAATATGTACATATGTACTGTATGTATTGTATGTATTGTATGTATTTATTTGTGTGTACTGTCTATGTGCTTATTTAATATTTGTGAGTGCTCTGCGACTCTTTTTGTTTTTAACCATTATTTCATGCGCTGCTGGGGTTTCTGCCTGATTAGTGTATGAAATGAACCAAGGTCACCCAACAGCTGCCGAGTGGGTGGACGGGCGGGCATTGAACTACGCACTAAACTATCAGAGGGAGGAGCAGCAGCAGCAGCAGCAGCAGAAGCCACAGCTGGTGATGTCAAATGGCTAATTTACTCAACTGCCTTTTACTTTTCAAATTAGCCAAACTATAGTCAAAGCTAATTTGATGTTTTTTACGAGTGGTAACCGACAGTCAACAGTTAACAGAATGCAACAGGCTGCAATCGCAACATCCCCCCCTCCCAGTGGCCGCTGCTAATTGATGTGACATTTGCGTGTGCATCTGCGGGCGACGCATTTTGTGGATGCCAAGTGGAGCTCTGTGGGGCACAGTGGTATTGTCGACAGGGGAAATTCGATTCGACTGATTTATGGATTAGAAATCTATGCCACACACTCCCCCAATCCATGCAGACCTCTGTCTTTTGTCAGTTATGTTCCGACCATCGACTGTGGAGACTACCTCACTGGTTGACCAATATATTTTCTACACTAACGAATCTTCTGCAATTTGAATTACTTGTCGTCCAATCCCTGACCACTGTCTCTGCCTGGAGCCCGAAGCCACTGGGACAAATCCAATGAAGCGCAGATCAGCGCCAGTGCCAGTGCCAATTCCTTGGCTTCCTTTGGCTACTGTGCAGCCATAATTTTGCTAATTTTATCAGACGCTTTGAACCTTGTCTGGCTGATTTTTATGGACGCTTTTAGCCATGGCTATAGAGGATGTGGCAGAACCTTAGATCCGAACAATATGTTGTCGTAATGTGCATTTAATTGGTCACCGAGGTCGTTGCCATAAATTTCGCGTGTGCGTGTGCGTGTGAGTGTGCGTGCCTGTGGATGTCGATGTAGATGTGTGCCTCTAATTAATAGTGCAAAATTTTAATGGCCATCGTCGGATGATAGTCAGAGATGGAATCGGAATTGGAATCAGAATCGTAGTCGTAGTCATACTCATACTCATAGTCATAGTCGGCGTGGAGTTGCAGTCGCAGTCGTCGTCAGAGTTATAGTCAAAGTGGAAGCCCAAGAGCAAATGGCCGTCTTGTTTATGGGGCGAAACCAGTTTCAAGGACGAGCCGCTGGCGCGATTCCAAGAACTTCACTTGGCTCATTACCGCATGACGATCGTCATCGTCGATGTGGATGTGGAGGTGGAGGTGGAGGAGCACATCGACGACTCTCCAGACGCTGAATGGGATGGGATGGAATGGAATGGGATGGGATGGGGCTAGGCTAGGGATGGAAGGTGGCGCGTAGCGAAAACGTGACTCTCCGTCTCTTCGGGGCTGACGATTGCTAAACTATTTTTTAAACTGCCTTTCAGTCGGACAAGGACAAGGCTAAGCCGATGGCCCCTCGCATATTTCTCTGCACTTAATTTTATTTTAATTTGCAAACAGCAGAAGCAGCAACAGCAACAGCATCGTCCTCGTTCCTTTTCTTTTTCTTAATAAGTAATAACCGCATTTTCCCCGGCTTTTAGTGTGATCCACTCTCCTTCCACTCCAAGTGCTGCTGGAGAGCCACAGCCAGAGACAGAGACAGAGACAGAGCCAGCGTCGAAGCAATCGCCGCCGCATAGTTGTAAAATTCCTGTAAACAAGACGAGGTTGCTTGCCACAGCTGTGGCATGTGGCAGCCTGGAGACCGTACTGAATGCTACACATACACACACACAGGCATTCAGATGATCCCCCCGACAATTGCACCAATGGATTGGCATTGGCCCCACGGGTTGCCAAAAGAGTTCTAGAGCCACAGCGAGGAGAGTGAATGAGGAGAGAATGTCCGTGCATGGGAGAGACTCAGAGCTATGAAAAGGGAAGGCTTCAAATGATGTATTTCCCTTGGAAATTCCCCACCCTTTTATCATTTCACTAACTGCTTGAACACCCCACGCGGGGCAGCATTATCACGGGCAGCCCCAGAGTTGTTACCTTTTGTTGCCACAAACTTTTTGAGTTATTTTTTCAGTGCATGCCTTATGTACAAATATATACATATACATATATATATATGTTTCGATATGGCCTATCTACCATGCGCCTACATATCCATGTGTGCTGCTGCTGCTGCTGATGCTGGTTTGCTGGTGTGTGTGTGTGCTACTACTGGCAAGTCCGCATTCTTTTAAAGGTTGCCCCAAGTTGGCCAGAGCCGGGGCCAGCGTCAGATCGTAAGCGTAAGAGCCAGACCCAAAGACAGAGCCGCATAGCATAGCAGACCAGTTCGAACGAAACATAAACCAAAACCAAAACCGAAACCGAAAACCAAAAAACATTTGCCCGCCGGCCGCCTTGAATGGTGCGTCGGCGTCAGCTTCGGAGGCAGCAGCAGTGGCAGCAGCAGCGGCAGCGTCTTTGGGCAGAGGTTGTGGCGCATGCGGCCAGTTTTCATTTTCGTTTTAATGTTGTTGCTGCTGTGGCTGTTGGCGGCTTGTTCTTAGTAATCCAAAAAAGTACACAAAACGATTGAAAACAGATCAATTGTTGCAATGTCATATACAAACAGAATATAGCCAGAGCTTCCGATTTTCCGATTTATACAGCCATAGCTATATTGACGCGGCTGTTCTTTATAGATTGAGGAATTCTTTTTTTGGCACTGGCATGGGTATGCAAGGGTATCGTTTCTGTGCCTTTTTATCAACATTTTGAGCATTTTTGGACGCCAATCACAGATTTAATTGCGGCACGACACACGGACAGAAATCGAACGGTTGCAGCCAGGCACAGATCGGGCAGGGAGTGCGGCAGAGTGGAAAGTGGCTGACCTTCAGGCGGCCGTCCGCGGTCTGCCACCTGTTTGCCCAGTACCCAGATATCGGATCGGAATATCGGAATGGCCAGTGGAACAGTTGCCGGACGCTGTTCCTGCTAATTAGGCATATCAATATGATTATCCTCTCTGCGGCAGTGGCAGTGGCTGTTGCTGCTGCTGCTGCTGTTGCTGTTGCTGTTGCAACTGTGACTCATCCTCGTATGGCGGTGCGGCTGTGTTGGTGTGTGCTGTGGAATATGTTGCTGGAATGCTGCTGCCACATTCGCCTGGCTATAAATAGTTAACCTAATCAAAATGCAGGCGTGTAAGCCAAGCATTTGCATAGTTCTTGCTGCATGTTGCATGTTGTTCCCGTTGCTGCCTGTTGCATGTTGCTCTTGGCAATTATCTTTGGCATGCGCAGACATTGGTCTAAATGTCAGGGTAAATTATGATGCATTCAGCTATTACGTCTAATAGTCCAAAATTCATGCACGTGTGCAACTATTTTTAGTTGTTGCCAGAGTCGCCGTAGTTACCCTCCCCCCAACCGCCAACCGCCAACCCCCAATGACAGATCACTGAAACCTGCTGCTGCGGCTCCTCCTCCTTTTGCTGCTACTGCTGCTGCTGCTGCAACTATTTGATGCATGTCTCTGGCTGCGCCCTTTTCTACGCTAATTAAGCCGAGACTTGCACTTGGCCGAGACTCCCAGTCGCAGAGCCCAGACCCGGCCAAGGCCTCTCCGATTGCCATCTGAAGAGGAGGAGGGAGGCGCATGGCCTGCAGCGTTTGCAACATTTAATCATCACATTGCTGCAGAAATCGTATCATTAGCGTTTTTACGATTACGCGCTTTATCAAAATAGCTGCGGCAGCAACAGCCAACAGCCAACTGCCAACAGCCAACAGTAGAAGCCACATTTGCAGATGCAGGCAGTGGCAATAGTGGCAGGTTTCTTGCCCGTACTCGTACGATGGGCTGCATATGGTGCGAATTCGAGCAGAATGTTGTTGATAAAATTGCAACTACTTATCGATAAATGTACTCGATTGTCTGCTCTTACTTGATGGTTTACAGATGCAGATAAAAGAGTATCTATCTGGAAGATAAGATTCCCTCAGATGTTCCCTCAGTATTGCATGATTACATATGCTGTTAGGAGCTTTCTTTGGAGAACTATTGGATATACTTAGATACTAGATATTGAGATTCATTAAGCTGGTTGCTGCTTGTGAGATATTTTTACGTCTGGTGCTACTTCTTTTTGCTTTTGCATTCCACTGTCCATGGGATGATTAAATATTTTGTGTCTTTTCAGTGGAAAATTGCCCGAACACACACAAATAAATGCCACACACACACTGTCAGACACAGCGCAGACATAAAACGAAAAGTGAAGTGAGGAAGGGGCTGGCGGAAAAAATTCTAATCAATGCTATCAGCAG